ACACACATAATATTCGATACGTATCTCGCTCGACACGCTCCAACACATCTTCTCTCCCAGCTATATCGGCTATACAACGCTGACGCTCGAGCTCCACGCTCTGTGTACAAAAAAGAACTGCTTGTTTTTTTTTCTTGTTTTTTTTGTAACCACCCAATGCCATGGAAAATACCTTCGATTCTTTTTCATCTTTCCGTTCGATTCGACATTTCGTTCTCGAGAAAAATCCTCGAAACAAGCCGACTATTTGCCTATGAGCGTAAAACGTCCAACGACAAAATGAAGCAACTGGAGCAGCAGCTTTCATCGACTCATTTAAACGGAATAATCGTTCTCGCAAGTTTAAATTACCCTTAGCATGCTTTTTGTCTAGCATACTCGATCAAAACTATTGAAATTCATGTTTAAATGGTCTGTATTTTGTCTGATATTGAATTTCGATACAGCTTCTTTTGCTCATGATTTTCAACATGTTTTAATTTAATCATTTTTTAGACATTTTTTCTTAGCCTTCGATCTGTTTCAACTTGATCGTTTGAAAATTTACAAATGATTTCAGAAAACTCCACTCAATTCATGTTTTCCAATTGTATTTCTATTGACAAACATTATTAAATTGTTCTTACCTGTCGATATAAATTAACGCAATCATGATTCTCAAAAATGAGGTATTTCGAGTTTTTTACACGCTTGCAATATTCAAAGATCTCTTAATAAAAACAGTGAGAGAAAAATGAAAAAAAGTAAAGATTTTTATTTAAAACGGACTCGAGCAGTCCATTGGAAGAAAAAAAATATTTCTTTTGGCATGCGTCGCCGTTTCCGACACAATGAAATAATCGAGGCGAGGTGAGAGCAAAAAAATGTGAAAATTAATTTTAGGCCAGTCTAATGTACATGTTATGTGTCAAGCTCTTAAAGCTCTCGACATGCTACGCTATTTTTTTTATTCGTATTTTGGTAAGCGTGCTCATTTCTTCGACTTGACTAACAAGGACTATTTATTTGTTTTAAAAATTGAATAATATTTGAGAGAGCTGCAATATGATATACATGTCAAGTAGGAGGTGAATTTTTGATACGAATTCGGACTCGATACTTGAGAAAATGTTTTGCTTGAAAAATAAAAAATACAGACAAAAAAGGTGGCGCGTTCGCTCGGCTATTGATCTGCGTTGATGGGCATTTTGTTCGCAGCTCGTGATATTACACGGAGCGCGTCGTAATAAGGACGACGTCAGAGGGTGACGAAAATCCAAACGAGTCGAGGGAGACTTGATTACTCGTTGGCCTTAATAGTCTGGTAGAAAAATCTAATGTGCCTCGACCATTGTATAGCAGAAGGCAAACCGAGAATACGATAGAAAGAGAGAGACTTTTTTAGGGACGCGTCCGGCTGGGATCGATTGATCCTTGGACGAGGCACAAAAGCATGTACTTGTACTGTACGAGCTGTACTCCAAATTTAGAATAGCCGTCGAGCGTGTCCGTCTGTTGAGGGTAAAAACACGCAGTTGCTCGAGCGCTCCATGGTCAAAATCGTTTGAACTTTTTCTCGAGCGAGCGAGCAGTAAGTCGTAAGTCGCGTAACTCGTGATCACAGCGATCGTCGAGCTTTATTTTCTCCAGCTATTGGCCCTATTATTTTTAATTTCGTGCGTAAAACCGCGAGTTGCGCTGCTTTTATTTGCGCAAACAGTCGGAGATGAATTTTTTCGTGACGTATAACTGAAACAGTAGCCAAAATAAAGATTTCGATAGTCGGCTATTTCTAGGCAAATTAGCCAATGTGGGCGAACGAGTGCGTTTTTTGTACAATCGATCGGACGAGCTGAGGCGCGATACAGCGAACTCCGACAACTGTCGACTCGTTCATTCAACTTTGGTAAAAACTCGTTGGTAATAGCTCGCCATTGGCCATCAGCAAGCAATGTCAAAGCTGGATTAGCTGGATCGCGATCGAGTCGCGATCGAGTCGAGAATAGATTTTTCTTGCACTGTGAACGACGCTGCTCCGTCGGTGAACACACGAAGCTCGTATACGACTGCACTTGCTGTCCGTAGCTCTTTGGGCTGCGCCCTTGAACTCGCGACTAATGGCGGACTAGCAGCTACGCAGAGTCGCGATCGCGATTCCGTCGCATTGACTCTGCTCAATTATTCAGACTACGTCGATACGCTCGAGCATATGTAATATATATGGGCCGCGAAATTCAACGCGTACCTCTTTGGACAGTACTACACGATAAGTAGACCATTTCATCGAAACAATCGACGTTGGACAATTGGCAAGTTACAAAATGCAAAAAGAACAAAAAAGTAGAAACGCACAAAGTAGGCAGTCGACGTGCATCAAGCTGGCGTTAGGCATATGGATTAAAATTAATCGATTGGGATATTCGGGGGCCAGGAGCATCGGTACTTACAGCCACTGCACGAGTGTACAAGTGTCAGGTAGAAACTCGTTTAGCTTACAAAATTATAGGCGTCCCGTGAAAAGAATCGATTCGAGCCTCGATAGCTAAGCGGCGTTTAGTCGCGAGAGCGAGGACAGCGACGAAAGTTACACCTGCGTGCGGCTAGCTACTCTCCCTATCCCGCTGAATTTGGCCAATTGGCTTTTCAGCGCCGAGAGGCGAAAAGTTCGCTCGCTGCTGCCGATGCTGCACCGATGGCTCAATGACTCTCCGCAGAGTGACGCCAATGTGCTTCGAAGACACGTGTACGAGAAGAAATGTTTTTGCCCGTTTGCGCGAGGCTAACGTTCCTGTACTAATTATATGAGAGAGCTATAGGAAGGTACGCTCGATACAAGTAAAGCCGAGCTGTTTACCAACTCGTCGAATTACGCTTCGGACGTTCGTATAGCCTATGCCAAGACGTAAAGTAAACAAAAGCCGCTACTCGTCTTTGCGAAAATAGCTACGCGAAGCCGATGGACCGATGCTAGCACTCGCTGCCTATTTTCATACACATCTCGTGTTTTTCCTACTTGTCACATTTTTAATTGCGCATAATCCGCCTAATGCCAACCAGTCGAAGCTCGAGATTAGTTAATAATCCACCAGCTTATTTTAGCCAACTGGCAGGTGTTTGAATTTGATTCGGCCCAGTCGGAATAATCGAAATCACTTACTCGATTCGTTTAATTTACACGTGGATGAGCCTTTGGTATGGTCGATGTGATTTTTCGATACGTAACTCTCGACTCGTAACTTGTCTCGCGCGCCTGTTTCAATCGTTGAATGCACCAAGCAAAAGGAAGAAAAACAAACAAAAATGAGAATGGGCTGAAACGAGTTTTAGCGTTGACTATACTTTCGACAGTCGTCGAGGAAGAAAGGAGAGAAATTTGACGAGTCAAAAATACACTCGGTGAGCTCGAAACAGCTCGAAAGCTGCGATCTTAGATTCGGAAACGACGAAGGCGCTCGCAGTTTCGCGCCAAAATTCAAACTCGCCATAGGACTCGTAATAGGATAAATAGCTATTCCGTTATGGAGGATCCAAGCATCGATACTCGAGGATCAGATGGAGAAAGCAAAACAAAACTTTACATAAAGCCGGACTATTTGGTGAGGTTTTGTACACTTGTAGCGCGGCTATTTATATTACAGAGAATCGATTTGCGAGCGATAATTGACTTTGTCGTGTAAAGCGAGCGATCGTTGTGGACGATACGATCGATCGTCCATCCGGCTGGAAAAATGGAGAAATTATTTAGCCGGCGAGTAAACGATTCCTCGGCGTCGACGAGCCCACGAGGGAGAAGAAGGTTTGCACGCATAGTCGGATAGCAGTTGGACAGCTTGTGAATGGGGAGTCGCCTTTCGTCAAGGAATCATGGATCGATCCGAATCAAGTGGACGTTCGATCCGAGCCGAGGGGCACGTCGAGCAGGTGTCCAGTGTCCAGTGCGCGGAAGGGCCGAAAGTCGCAATTAGCCTGGCCTAACGAATACGAGTGTCGTGACTAGACTAGACGGGGCCGAATGAAAAATCAAGCAAATATCCGTGCACGAGCTCGAGAGAAGCGAGCTGCTTCGCTAGAGAGAGAGCGAGAGAGCGAGAAGCTCGCGACAAAAGCTCATATCGAGCGTGAAGCAATAGAACGGCTAAATTGTTTTTTTCCTCGATATTGCGCACACATACTATATACGCGACCATTGCACACACACGTACGCGCGATAGGTAATGGATATAGCATATAGAGCTCTGCAAGTGGCGTATCGCTAGCCGCTATGTATGTATATACATATAAGCGTTGATAAGAACAAAAAACAAGTACGTGTCGGAAAAGTAAAGAGAAAAAGCGTAATGGTAAGGTCGCGATAGAGAGAGAGAGAGAGAGAGAGGCAAACGAGAGCAGAAAAGGAAAACGACGGCAGGAAAATCCTGCAGTGGCACATAGACGTACACACACGTTCACGGGGTGTGGTCTCACTCGCTCTCACTCGCTCCCGCTGCTGGCTCTCTCTCGCTCGCAGTTGGCAGTTTCTGCGCTGGCTTAGCTCTACGCTCGCCTCGTCGTCGTCGTCGTCGCCGTCGTCGTCGTCTATGAGTATACGCGTAATTTCGGTGTATCAGCAACATTTCCTACCACACAACGGATATATAACGGACTTTTGTACAGGCAAAGTGTCCGAGACCGTGCGTGGATCATTACGAGACGAAACGAATAAAATAAAATAAACGAATGGAAATGCAAAAGTCGGAAATTGCCAGGTGCATAATGCGCACGAGCCTACGCTTATTAATACTCTGGCTAAAAAAGCTCCACGGCGTAGCAGCAGCCACCAACACTGCCACACACGGATAATAGCGCACGCTTACGCACACACGCACACACACACACACACATCGTGTCGGATGGTCTAAAATTAGCAACGAGCTATAAATAGAGACGGACTAAAACTATTTGATATGCACAAAAAGAGAGAGAGAGAGAGAGAGAGAGAGAGAGAGAGAGCAAAAGAGAGTAAAAGAGTGTGGTGTACTCACTTGCCGAGCTCCTCCTTGAGGTCGTAGTTGTCACTGAACCTCGTGCAAGCCGCTTGGGCAGCCATGCCGGGACCAAGCTGGCGCACCACGGCGCCTGCTAATAGCTCGACTCGGTCCTTCGTGAAAAGAACAGACCTCGGGTTGTCTGCCTGGCCGTTGGCTCGATTTCGCACAGCTGTAGTTGCGAACGAAATGCTCGAGAATCAGCACTCGTCGTCGCTCGTAGCAGTCGGCGAAGCTGCACAACTGGCTCGCTGTTTCGATATCACCACTCTGTGTGCGTTTTGTACACTGGTTCGGGTTTGCCGTAGAGAGAGATAAGCGCGGTCGACGAGGACAGTACAAGGAACAACAAAACACGAAGAAGCAGCAGCGCACCCTCGACGAGGCAGAGATCGGCGGCGGCCCCCTACTCGTCGCTGCTCGCTCTCTCGCTTTCCCTTTGACGCACTCTTTCACGAGCGATTCACGAGCGTTTCACGAGCGTTTCACGAGTAGGGCTCAACTGACACACATTCGAATCGCCGCGAGAGGATCCCCCGAGTCGAGCGTTCTGAATTATTAAGCGAATTTCTGTGCGCACTGGGAGATGTGCGGGTAGGGAGGGGAGGGTTGATGCACAGACACACACACACACACACACACACGACGAGGGGAGGGGTGGGGAAGTACAGGGTCGACTTTAGATCGTCGCCGTCGTCGTCGAACACCAAGAGGCACGATCAACACTGGGAGCGTTGGATGCGGAAGCCGACGAAGAAGACGACGACGTCTCGGCAGAAGAGAGTCCAAGTGTTGTAACGAGCTCTGCTCCGTGCTCTGCGTGCCGAGCTGCTGCTGCTGCTGCTCAGAGGGGCGAGAGCGAGCGAGAAATAGCGAGTGTATAAGAAAGCGGCCAGTCGGACTCGGCAGTCAGCTTTGAGCCAGGCAGCAGCAGCCAGTCGTGCGCTGCGCAGAGAGCCAAAGACAGACAGAGACGGAGAGTGGCTATATAACTGCGATCGGGGGCGCGCGAGCCAGAGAGAGAGAGAGAGAGACCGTTAGAGAGAGGGCGAGGGTACAACTACTACCGCTATTCCGCGAGGCAAGCTCTACTCTGCTGCTGCTGCTGCTGCCGCCGCCGATCAATAAGCTGCTGCTACCGAAAGAGAGAGAGAGAGAGAGGGAGGGAGAGAGAGAGACGACTATGTAGTAGAGCGTTAGAGAGCGAGGCGGCGCTGCTGATGCCTAGTCGTCGACTGCTGCTGCTTCTCCTCGCTATGCTGCAAGCACATATATATAGAGCACAGCACGTATATACTGGCCGATTTTAGCTCGAAAGCTCCCCCGTACCGACTAACTGCACATCTGATAGGTATATGCGCTGCACTCGCGGCTATATCTTCTTCCTCGAGCGCGATGTCTCTGGTCGTTTTTTCATTGCCATTTTCAAGCAGTGATAGATTCGATTTACAAGCTGTGTCAACGCGTTTCGACGAATCGCACTCGTTGGATTTTACATGCGTGCGCGCGCGAGCCAATATCTATAGTCCATACCTGCGCTCGAAAGCCTATACATACGTTGGCTCGTTTCTGTCACTCGCAGCGAGGCATTTGCGTGTGCCTGTTATTTGTACGGTAATTAGTCGCTGCGAGAAGCGACGAGTAAGATGCAAGTGCGCGTCGAGCCGGCGCAGCCTCGACTGACTCGCCTATGCTCGACTTTTATCTCGGCCGGAGTAGAGCGAGTACAACGTAAGGAATTGTAATAACGAGTTGAGCTATCCCCTTCCAGTTGGCCGTCGCGGTAAACAGTCGCCGATCGGCCTGCAACGATATCTTACTCACTCGTTATATATAGACTCGTGGCTCGGGTCTGCAACTTTAGGCTCGCGATTCTCTTACTAATCGAGTACTCTCTACAATGGATAACCACCTTTAATGTTATACGCGACACTAGCAATCGAGGATCACTCGTTTTTAGGATCATCGAGTAATATAGCTAGCACGCGCGCTAATGCTCCTGTAGACTGCAGCCGACTGCACGAATACTCGCTAGACCGTACGCAGAGACAGCTACTGCTGCCGTTTACCGTTACACATGCATAGCAGCCTACTGCGTTGCGAGCGAATTTCCGCTTTCTCGAGCAACGATAATTGAGAATCCTTGCTAACGTGCCAAGTCTCGAGCCCAAAATAATTGTTTAATCAACCGTCTGTCTCTTGCATTGTAATTTTTATCGCTGGGGACGAGCGCACGCACGCACGGACTTGACCCAATCTTGACTCAGCTTCTATACGTCCTGTGAATGTTGGACCCCTTACCCGAATAAACACTCGTGTACCAACTAGCTGCATACGGGGCTAAGGCTGCGCGCGCACATATGGAGCTGCAGCGCTGCGTCTCGACCATTCTTTGCCAGTGCCAACTCCATAAACTGACCAACTGCGACGACTGACTCGAGACTGACTTGTCCACTTGGTCTACAATCAACCCGCGTCTCGTCGTGATTTGACTAACGATCGATCGCTACGCATCTGTCGTTTCTGCCATTTATGATACTTTTGCATCTCGTTGAGTAGTATTACCTTTGCACGCCTGACGCGACCATACTACTCTACTACTGCAAAGTCATACAAGTCGCCCTAGGACTGAAACTTACATTTTTTACCTTATTTTTCTTCTCGCGCGACTCGACAAATAAATTATTACAAAGATTAATATTTCAAAATTTATTGTCGTTACAGGCAAAGTTTGCCAAAGAACAGCTTACAAACTTTCGTGATAATGATAATCGTAGCAAAACTTGCGATTTTTTGTGCGCTATAAATTAAAACTTGGATACAATGAGTCATAGATACATGAGTATAGTTTTCATAACTCGTCTTTATGCAAAATATACTTGACTTGCCTTCTCGCAATTCAATCCTAATATTTCTTTTAAAATATCGATAAAATCATGATTATACATATGTGTAATCGTCTGTTTGTTCCTTTAAAAATTACCTTACTCGATCTACCATAATTTGAAAACAAGCTTGGTCCAATCGCTACCTCATTTGCCGCTATCAAGTATCTTATCAAATTATTGTAGAATCTAGTAATCAATTGTATAATCATCTTATTTACAATTCTGCTCAATATAATTGAACTTTATAAAAGTCCTGCGCCTCTGAACGTCATTTAATGTTCAAATTCAATTTCAAATATAATATCTTGCCAGTGTTTTAACGTTGCTTGCTCGTTGTATATGAACCATTTCTTTACTTTTATCGAAAATCAAAGTCTTTCCCAAGTACAATCTATAACATAATTTGTCACTCTTGTATTTAGTCGCAACAAAGAAATTCAAAAATGCATAAAAAATAATACTAACACTGCACTGAGATTACAACTAAACGCGAGGCAACTTTTTCGGTCATTTATAGAGGCATGCGAAAATGTTGGAATGTTACAAATACAAAATGATATATATATAGCTTTTGCTTTTGAGCAAAAGATAATATTACGAGAGAAACTTGTTTAAATCCAAGCAGGCTTACAACGATTACAACGCTTAAAGCTAATAAAATACGTTAGGTAAAAAAATAGATCTCGATCGCTTTGTCAATGTTTCTGTTGCTTTGAAAGCGACACAAGGATTACAGAGCGCAACGAGTTTGTAGTCGTTGCGCGCGATCTTTCGAGTAGAAAGAAACAACTCGAAGGATCCACGAGGAGGCGGCAAAAAATAAAGAAGATAGAGAAAAAAGCTCGACGACTGACGAGAGCGAGCTTAAAACGTTTACTCGACGGTAACGGACTTGGCGAGATTGCGCGGGCAATCGACGTTGCATCCGCGCAGCACGGCTATGTGGAAAGACAAGAGCTGCAGCGGAATGACGGTGAGGATTCCCTGCAAGCAATCGACGGTCTTGGGCACCTGCAGAACCTTCGCGGCGAACGATTTGGTCTCTTCGTCGCCTTCCTCGCAAATGACGATGGGTCGTCCGTCGCGGGCCGTCACTTGTTGCAAGGCGTTCATGCATTTCTGCAAAGAAAGTGTCAATAAGCAAATGATTCAAATGGTCTGGATGAGGATCAAAAAGATTCGAGAATATAATTTTTGCTCACAACGTAGACGGGGTCCCTCATGACGATCATCATGACGGGCATGGAGTCGTCGATGAGAGCGAGCGGTCCGTGCTTGAGCTCGCCAGCCATTATGCCTTCGCTGTGCATGTAGGTCAACTCTTTAACTTTCTGTGGGCAAGAAACCAAGAGACGAATAAATAAACGAGCTTATTCGTAGTCGAGCTTATTTCCGCTTACCAATGCGCCTTCCATGCAGGTAGCAAAATTATATCCTCTGCCCATGATGAGAAGAGATTTGTGTTGGAACAAGGACTTGGCCAGTTCCTTGACTTGGTCGTCGAGCTTCAAAACTTGACGGATTTGTTGGTCGAGATTCTTCAATCCCTCGATGATCTAAACAAAGACAAGAGCTTAATTTGGGTCCGATAAAAGAGAGAGAGAGAGAGAGAGAGAGAGAGTGAGAGGATGACGAACCTCCAATCGCCTCTGCCTGAACGAGATCCTGTCCTCGCTCATAACGAGAGCAAACATAACGAGGGAGATGAACTGCGAGGTGTAAGCCTTTGTACTGGCGACGCCGATTTCCGGCCCGGCGTTGATGTGCACGCCGCAGTGGGATTCGCGACAGATGCTGCTGCCGACGGTGTTGGTCACGCCGACGATCAAAGCGCCGCGTCCTTTGCAGTATCTCAGCGCCATGAGGGTATCGGCCGTTTCGCCTGTAATCGAAAAGGAAAGTCGATGTTGAAACGTTGCTTTTTTTATTTAGTCGAGCTGGTTAGGTAGGAGGGACGATAACAGACCCGACTGAGAGATGAAGAAGCAGACGTCGTCGCGGAAAACGGGCGTGTTCCTGTCCAAAAAGTCGGAGGCGAGCTCGACCATGACGGGCAGCTCGGTGAGCTCCTCGAGGAGCTGTCGGGTCGCCACGGCCGAATGGTAGCTCGTGCCGCAGCCGATGAGCATGAGGCGGCGGCAGCGCTTGATCTCCGGTATGTAGTCCTTGATGCCGCCCAGGGTCACCGAGTTGTCCTGGAAGTTGAGCCGGCCCCTCATCGTGTTGACGGCCGACTCGGGCTGCTCGAAGATCTCCTTCTGCATAAAGTACTCGTAGTTGCCCTTCATTATCTGCTGGATCTCCATTTTCAGGGTGTGGATCTCGCGGGCGTGAGAGTCGTCGCCCGCGCCGCTGCGCCGCAGACGGTGAATGTTGAGCGCGCCCAGCTTCACGGCGGCCACGTCGTCGTCCTGTTAACACCAATTACCAATTTTCTATTGTATCCTATTGCGATTGATTAAATTGTCCCGTCCGAGGCTCACCTCGAGGAAAATCACTCGATTCGTGTGCTCGATAACGGCGCTTGCGTCCGAGGCGAAGAAATACTCGACTTGATTGTCTTCCAACGGCTGGAATTCCGAGGTACTCTCGCTTCTCGGCAGCATCGTGATGTCCGAGCCACGACGGTGCGGACGATGCTCTGCAAAAAAACATAGCAAAAAGTAAGAAACGAGCGACGTGCCATCGCTTTGACTCGCTCGACTCGAGAGCCTTGTACTCGAGTCACCGCTGTTACAAGCTATTACACCATATTTATTATCGATTCGTTGCTACCTGTCGCGCGCAAACGCGTCGCAAACATCGGCAGCCAACGGCTCGGATCACCACTGTAAGTTATTAAAATACCAACAGCAACCCATACCGTTTAATTTTTCTTCTTGACTCTCGTCAATCTAGAAGCTTGGCTTGCTCCCAAAAGGAATTGAAACAATTATTCCCATCTATCGAATTAATGACTCGCTTTGATCAGCGAAGTTGTGCGTTATGATTGACAATTGCCAAACGAGTTAATGCCTTATCGAAGCTGGTTATATGCATTAGTAGTGCGTGATCGTGAGAAGCAATCGTTAAACGACGTCGTGCCTTTCGCCCACCAGTAAAATCGACCTATGTAGCTACTATATGCATGAGAGTCATATGCGATCAAGCGTGTAATAACATAAAATTTGCTGGTACCTGTCGTCGCTGCTTCGGTTTCTGCGATTTCGACGTACGGGAGGACGACACAAAAAATACATAACAAACAAAATTCAACAGATTAGCACACAAACGATTCAGCAACAAAAAACAAAATAGCCTTATAAGTAGTACAAATTTTTAAAAGATTCATCAAATTTCTCTATAGAAATAAGTATGTACCATTCGTATTGGCACGCCGATGGTAAAAAAAAAATTTAACAAAAAAATCAACAGATTCGGATAACAAGCAACGAGAATGGAATGTATAATGAACGTGATTGAAAATGCGTGACGCATTAGTATGCCACGATGAATCGTACGGGCAGAAGCCAAATTGGAAAAGGCGCGCGCGTTAAGGATAAAAATAGTTTGATGTCGTTGGAAAAAATTTCTCGTTGTCCTTAAACTTTATATTCCTCCGATGAAGAGTGCAGTGAATAATTAAAATAACCCGAAAATTAATTCGATAAAATGTGAGTATATGAGAGGTGTTGTTTTAAATTGTCATGTACCTTTGTGAGAGTGTGGAAGGTCATCTGCCGAGGTGATACACGACGAGCCAAAAATAAAAAAAAAGTCCCTTTTACAGATATGCATGTATATATATATGGGTCAAAATAATACTTTTTTACAAAACCGTGCGCACGTATGTCACCGATCTTGACGCGCTTTTGGTATGTTATAGTACATGGCAAAAAGGTCCCAAAAAAAAATTTTTAGACCCCCTCCCCCCTCCTACCCCCCACTTCCGGTATGAACGTCCATTTTCGATCTATATTTTTTCTGAGGACATGAAACAAGTAAAAAATCTGAAAAAATTCATAAAAATACTTTTCCACAATCCAAACAACCTTGAATTTTTTCAGATTTTTTGAGTGCTTCAGGCCTTCAGATAAAATCATTGAAAATTTCAAAAATCTAGATACGGCGGTATGAGCCGATGTAGTACTCGGAAATTTTTTCAGTAATTTTTCGCATTAAAAAACATAACCTCAATTTTTTTCAGATTTTTTCAGATGACCTAACGCACTTTTTGAAGCCAAAAACCGATTTTTTTGACGAAAATAATTTTTTTAGGACAGTACGGAGCCTCGAAAAATCTAAAAAAAATTTTTTCTTGTTTTTTTCATCAAAATACGTAATCTCAAATTTTTTCAGATTTTTTAATTGAAGGCGATAGCTTCTAGGGCCGAAAAATGCTATTTTTAACAAAAAATGGTTCCTAGAACCCGATGGTTCCGGTGAAAAAATTTGAAAATATTTTTTTTGAATTCCTTGTCAAATTTTAATAAATTTTGACCGTTTCAAAAGTTCGATTGAAGCTTCCTAGCTCATTTTAGAGCAGGACAAAGATTAGTGCAAAATATCTGAAGACGTTTCTGAAGACATTAAGGAATGATAAAACTCGTTTGATGCTCTAAAATGAGCTAGGAAGCTTCAATCGAACTTTTGAAACGGTCAAAATTTATTAAAATTTGACAAGGAATTCAAAAAAAATATTTTCAAATTTTTTCACCGGAACCATCGGGTTCTAGGAACCATTTTTTGTTAAAAATAGCATTTTTCGGCCCTAGAAGCTATCGCCTTCAATTAAAAAATCTGAAAAAATTTGAGATTACGTATTTTGATGAAAAAAACAAGAAAAAATTTTTTTCAGATTTTTCGAGGCTCCGTACTGTCCTAAAAAAATTATTTTCGTCAAAAAAATCGGTTTTTGGCTTCAAAAGGTGCGTTAGGTAATCTGAAAAAATCTGAAAAAAATTGAGGTTATGTTTTTTAATGCGAAAAATAACTGAAAAAATTTCCGAGTACTACATCGGCTCATACCGCCGTATCTCGATTTTTGAAATTTTCAATAATTTTTTCTGAAGGCCTGAAGCACTCAAAAAATCTGAAAAAATTCAAGGTTGTTTGGATTGTTGAAAAGTATTTTTGTGAATTTTTTCAGATTTTTTAATTGCTTCATGTCCTCAGAAAAAATATAGATCGAAAATGGACGTTTATACCGGAAGTGGGGGGTAGGAGGGGGGAGGGGGTCTAAAAATTTTTTTTTGGGACCTTTTTACCATGTACTATAACATACTAAAAGCGCGTCAAGATCGGTGACATACGTGCGCACGGTTTTGTAAAAAAGTATTATTTTGACCCATATATATTGTTTCATTGGCTGATGATAATCATGGAAGAATTGAATCGAAAAAAAATATCGCTACGTCGCGATCGAGCACAGGAAATCGGTCGAGTTTATACAAAGCCACTGAACACAGCCTGGAGTGACCTTGATGGATTTGGTGCAAAAGGTAGTTGCGAATGACGCAGCGCTCGGAGGAGAAACGAGACGTTATGCACTCGTAGCTCGGTATAAGTGCAGTATAACGTATCGGATCGACTCGTGCGCGCGTCGTTGTTGCTCGCAGACACGCACATTGGGCATGGCATCAAATTACCCGGAACCGAGTAACAGCGTGTCGTGCGAGCAACGACCATCTTTGCTTTGCAGCAACTTGGACACGTGATGCATTTACAGATAGGCTGGCTTTTTAGCCGAGTAATCGAGCAGAGAATAAACGCAGCCAAACGGATGTAAATATTATTTATACCTTTGCCGTAGAGGATGGGCACATGATCGGTGGCCAATCTGGTCTTGGTTTTGATGCCCACGAGCAGCGGTGATCCTCTCCTGGTGGCGACGCACTCGTCGGGGAAGTGTTTGCTCTTGAAGCAGAGAGCAAAGGCGCCTTCCTGCAAAGGTCCATCGCAAAATCTTCCTTTAGAGTCATGAAATAATTAATTAAGAAAATGTGAGAGAGAGAGACCAGTTGCTGGACGACTTGCTCGACGAGCTCCCGGAACGAGTAGCTCGGGTGCTGGACCCAGAGGTGATGAATGAGTTTGGCTATAATTTCCGTGTCGGTTTCGCTTTCGAACTCGTAGCCGCGCTGCTCCAGGAGTGTCTTGATGTCTTTGTAGTTGGTAATGATGCCTGTAATTAGTTTCATTCGATTAGTTTTATTCTCGAGGCAATGAATTTTGTTGAACAAAAGGCTGAAAATATCGACCGTTGTGAACGACGACGAACGAGTGGTCGAGGTCCGAGCGCTGGGGGTGCGAATTGATCTCGGATGGCACTCCGTGGGTGGCCCATCTCGTATGGGCGATGCCTACGTGACTCTCGATATTCGAGTCAAACTCCAAATTTGAATCTGCAGGAAAAATTGCGTGACATTTTACCAAGTTAGCGAGTGAAAGTTGCGCATCATTTTTGTTGGCTTTAGAGAGCGCGAATTCGGACCGGTTACAGGACTGCCCCTCCTCGATCGACTCCTCGTTGCAGCTACTTTGGCGCCAAGCAACGAGAAACGAGTCGATCGGCCAAGCTAGTGAGCCAAGTAACCAGTTTTCGCTCGAGCTATATTATAAAATGCAGCCGACTCTCCTTGGCCCTTTCGAAAGCGTGAAAGTGCAGCGACTCCATAACAGCCATGTAATAATGTACTTACGTTGAAAGATTTCCTCCTCGAGAGTTCTGACTTTGCCCTGCTTCTTGATGATGGCGATGTCCTTGCCATCGCTCGAGTCCAAAGCGACGCCTGAGAAGAAAGAGAGACAACGATCGTCAACCTTAGCTTAATTAGTAAAAATGAGAAAACATTGGAATTGGTCGTTACCTGCGGAATCGTAGCCACGGTATTCGAGACGCTTCAGGCCGCCTACCAAAAGCTCCAAAATCTCCTTGCGACTCTTGGGCGTCAGGTAGTTCAAGTAAGCGAAAATTCCTGCGATAACAAACAAAAAAGGCCCGATTGATTATTAATGCGCGACAGAGACTTTTTTCCTCTCTTATCTTGTCGGGCTCGGCGCTTCGATGCGTAGCGTCGTCACACGCGTCGGATCGCTCCGAAGGACGAGTGCCGATATCGCGCCAGTCAGGAATTTATGCGCATTAACATAAGCACAACGACATTGTCCGGGTTTTGCCAGGCATTTAATTGCTCACCAGAGAGAGAGAGAGAGAGAGAGAGAGATAAAATTTCAATCGGATGAAAATATAATGGAGCGGAAAGTCGAGAAAGTGGCGATTTGGCCGAGTTGAACGACCGGCGAGGCATCAACCATATCGATTACTCTTATTGACGAAAAGCAGTATCGACACTCAAGGTCAAGTGCACACGAGTCGACGATCGCAGCTACTTAACTCGACGAATTTTTCGCCACCGATTTATTTCGCAAGCGCAGAAACAGTTTCGAGCGTTGACTCGGCTGCCCTCTCGGACCTTTTGAAAAGTGCCTCGCTGCATCGTCGAAGCCGCAGCAACGGAAAGTGAAAGGAGCCGCCGATTGCTCGAAAAGACCCAGAGAAAAGTGCAATTGAGCCAAATGTTTGGCTCTTGCGAGTCCCTCGAACGGTCTCGTTGGACGGAGAAGGGCTCGGACTCGCTTTCACTGCCGAACCGATCGGCGCTGTAGACACTTGGCTTTCGAAATGTCTGCTACATGCACTGTACTGCCTAGGCCAAGCAAACAAACGAATATGTTGATTTCGTGCGTCGCGAGCATGTTTAATTCATGTAACGATTAAAAAAATCTCTCGTTACTTGATTTTCCAGACGCGATCGTCGATTTTTGAGCGAGCTAGTACGAGTCATTATTCGAGTAGGCGTTACGAAACGAGGGGGAAAAGATCACTTGCAAAATCGGCGCTCGAAACAATTTTTACACCTTACATTATGTACATTATGCAAAGAGAAAAGGTGTATAGAGCAATTCATAATATTCACGAGGTGTCGTAGGCGGCTATAGATGGATATATGTACGTCGAGGCGTACGAGGAAGAAATGAGTTTTGGTTACAGGCACACGCCCATTTCCAAGCCAGTCGCAGGCATTTGCTCAACCGGCAACACTTTCACTATTTAACTGCCTGGAGCTGTTATTATTATAAGCTTACTCGGCTGCGATTCGAGTAGGCCTATATCATAGAGAATATCGCAAGTGGCTAGACAAAACCCGATAAAAAAAAAAAAAAAAAAAACAAAAATAACGACAAGAGAAAAACACGGAGTGTGTCTGGTGATTTGAAAACTTGTTACGACTCGGGTCATTGATCGCTACGCATTATGCAGATAATGCTTTTCTGGCTTTCTCGGGCCGAATAATGCGAGCAAAGGCGAGAAACCAACAACTAGCGGCCCTTTGTCGATACTTGCAAGGATATAATAATCGAATATAATATCTAGAGAGCTGTTAGAGGGTCCGTTTATCCGTTTGTAGTCATCGAGCCGGAAGTTCCGTAGATTATTTCATACGATAATGCTACGAATTTTACGATTATGATCGCACGCGTCGCGATAGTGCACCTTATCGGCCAGTCTAGCGGCTTCTCTTCGGCAGCGTTTACATACACGCCCGACTCGTCCGTTCGTACACTTGTCATTTTTACGTGTTTTCGTTACGCGCGAATCGTAGTAAAGAACAAAAGCGAAACTAGCTAAACTTTTCTTACGAAATGGCTGATTTACCAGATTGCGCATAATCATTGTATAATAAAAAAACAGATTGAACAAGGAAGGGGGTCAGGCTTTTTCATTATGCTTTTTTGTTGATATTTAAAAAATGACACGGGCCAGCCTGGTGATTTTTGGTTTCAGCCAATTGTTACGGAGCTTTTTTAGCAAGCGTTGTCGAAACTTTCAAAAGCAAAATACTAGAAAAGGGTCTGAATAATTTATGAGCTTGCTACTTGAGAGAGAAAAAACCCAGCGTCATAAGGTAATGCAAGTTGGAGAGAGAAAAAATTGTGCAGAGCTTCCGTGGAATATCTGCTAAATGTTCGCTGTGGGTCTATGAATTTAGCACTGGGTGCGAAAAAGTCGAAGAGTATGGACAAAAGGCGAGAAAGCGATGGAGCACGACGACGATGTTTTATCGTTGAAGGCCATTAGATTCGACAGATAATGTCGGCGTGTAAATAAATGATGCAACGTCGCACATGTCAAAAGCGAAGGAATCGCAGGTAGTCGGGTGAAAGTCGAAATTCACGAGTCAAGTGTAGTAGAGCTGGTACGGATGTGGATTTCTCTATGCAGACAGATGACACATTGGAATACATGGGGGCTCGTTTAAAGGGAATGGATGTCGAGAGGGGCTCTTTAATAATGAATAAGTAAAGCGAGTCCGAGTCCGAGTCAAGTCGAAGGCTCGTGTTGCTCGAGGCAAAACAGATGTGCGTACTCACCACACATGGTTGAACGTTTGAGCAGACGAGTAGTAGTAGTAGTAGTAGTTGTAGTAGTAGTAGCAGTAGTATAGTTGGTATACAGCAGCAGCAGCAGCAGCAGCAGCAGAGTAGAGTAGAGTATATGTGTGTACACAGCGGCCAGCAGACTGCCACTGACGACGACTGGAGCGACGAGCGATTGTATCGTGCGCCTATATAGGGGGGCCGACTCGCGCCGATCAGCTGAGTGGCGACTCTACTTTGGCTACGCACGCGAGAAGGCACGTAAAAAGCCTTCCTTTTTATGCCCTCCTGCTCTTTGTGCGCTGCAACAGCTGCCAGCTCCCACTCGCCGCTACTTTGCTCCTTGCTACTTCGGCTCGTCGGCTGGTGGGGCCCATTTCTTCGAGCCGATCGACTCGTTACGGCCACCACCTCTTCCAATTCTATATTCCAGCTATTTTCAACTCGATCAGTTTTACTATTTTATTTTATTTCATCGGCAAGCTCGTTCGACCTTTCGCTACCGATTGACAAATTGACCGTTTGGATTTATTTCGAGCTTGCACATCCAAGACTCCATTCGATTGTCGAGCTTGCAGCTTTGCTCGAATGGCGATGCGACCCAAGCAGTTTGACGCTCGATCGTCTATATTCGCAGGCTCGCGAGTCCTTTTTCGAGCTCTCATTAGCTCTGCACCGTATCGATAGTCGCGATCCGAAGCATTCACGAAGCTGCACTCGCTCGAAATTGAATCGTGCTTTTCGTTGGCGCCTGGCGAACTCGTTCGGGAGCCTACGAAAGCTTCGCCGAGACTTGGCTAGTAAAAATTACTGAGCCATCGTCGTCTGCTTATTTCATTGCTGCTGCACAAGCTCGATTTAGAGGCTCGAGCACACCTTCGATCGCGTTCCATTTGCTGTTTGATTGTTTTTGTTGTTGTCGATAATTTGGTATGGTATAGATGCAGCGAGCGCGAAAAGGTTATGACGGACGCACTGGAACGACTGACGCGGGTAAACGGCGAGCCGAGCTACGACTATATGTACATACATATATGTTCGTGAGAAAGACGCATATAGCTGCACGACGGGACCTCGCCTTATCGAGCATTCGCTTCATTTTCTAGCCTACTCGAGTATTAGGACCGACTCCCTGCCGCATTCTAGTCTGTAAATCTGTATAGCTTACTCGTAGCGCTGCTGACTCGTGACTACAGTGCTCAGTGCACTCGCTTGACTCGACTATGTGCGTCTCGATAGGCGCGAATTTTGACTCGGCTAGTCGTGACGTCGACGACGGCGCCAAATACTTGACTTTGATGTACGGTCACCTTTGATACAGGCTCCGTATGGACGACAAAAATACCCAATTTGAGCATTTCACAACTCGAGGCCGTGTGTGGCATTGTACACATTGTGTCCGTGACATGTGTTGTACAACTTACGTAGACAGGGGGCCCAACTCGAGGCATTATATTGCCCAACACGAGCCATGAATTTCGCCCGCGATGCTGCCGTAGACGATAATTTATCGATATGAGGATACCTTGCGCAATTAAGGCCACGTAGTTTCACTGACAACGCCAACTGCTCTTCGTTGCAACCTTGCCCAAGTAATCCAAGTTGGATCGCGCGTCTCTATGCATCTTCCAACTCTGTGCGATCGCTACAAGCAATTCTCTATTCTATCGCCCCAACCAACTTTTCTGACTGCATCTTTCCTGCTTTATTTATTTCACGGAATTTCTCCTCGATTCATCCTTTCTGTAGAGCAACGAATTTCGACTTGTATTGAAAAAAGCAAGCCTTACTGCGCCGACCTTGTCCTATTAAAGCTATTTTATCAACGACCTATTTTCATAAAATATCTTCCATTTCTTCCATCAACACCTTTTAATTACAATTATTTATATTTATGCAATTTTTACCGAATTTTATGAGTGAACAAGTTGATTTTTCAAAACTGCAAAACAACTTGTTTTTCATACCAGCGGCCCGAAAGTGCCTACTTCCCGGCCGCTGCGCAAAACGGGAAGAGCTATTTTCGGGCCACGGGGTATGAAAAATAGTATACAGGCCTAAGCCGCGAAAAAAGAAAGCCCCAGAGTACGTGTTTATCGGCCTCGGCCACTAATTACACGTGCCCTGGGACTTTTCTGTTTTTCGCGGCCTAGGGCAGTAATATACTATTTTTACGACTCAGGGTATAGTTTATTCATTACACTTGAGTAGTTTTCAAATTATGCCTATGAATAAAATATTTTCTCATTTTTTCCGATGAATTTATTTACAACACGAACAATTAATTATAACTACTCGAGGGTTTTAAAAAATAACTCTAAAAGTTTAGTTTGCCAACACTAATAAGCTAGTTCTTGTAAGGTAATGATTTTTATCACCATTCCGATTTATATACTTCCATTACTTTGGGACAAATCTTAAGATACTTCAATTTTACTAACATATCAACTACTTGCTATACTTTAACATTGTTCATTAACTGATCGTAAATTATATTCATTTGCGATTCTTTAAGTGTCCGCTAACTAGAATATCCAACATTTATTCTCATCTACGTTTACCGGATACTTTTTTTACTTTGAAAATCATTATTTTACAACATTTTAATAAGTTTCATCGTCTGAAATATAATTGTCACAAAATCAGAAACAGCCAATAATCATTATTTTAGTTTTTCCATGCACTTGGGTTAAAAATATGATATTTGAAACATGTTTTTATTTTATAGTAAGAAAAGTAGCAGTTCTACTTCAAGTTACACCAATAAAACCTCGTCAGTCTGCAATATTTGCTTTATCTTTGCGACTCTAGCTGTTAAAATCAGCATCACAATTACGTTCACAAAGTTACAAATTCTGTGCATAGCTCATACTTGATGAGCGTAATCGCAAAGTGATTTTCACTTATAAATATCGCATGATCGAAATATTTTTAAACAGTGTTTATTTTAAGAATCATTTCACAATCCCGGAGTTTATTACTATATAATATTCGTCGAACATTGAATGCGTCATTTTCTATAGAAAATTCTGCTTCATCATTAATTCTACACTTAACTTATAAAAGCTTGATTCAACTGTTTTATAATTAATAATTGACCAGTATGTGTGTATAGTAGTATCGACAAGTATTAATCTCGTTGACTTACTCAGTTTTCTACTTAAAAAAGATTTTCAATTGATACCCTCAAGTTTACATAATAAATAAATTACATTTTATAATACTCGAATATAATTTTCATAAGACGGTTCAATAAGACTAAGAAATTTCCATGAGAACCATAAAATTCTAAAATAAATAACACATTATCAGACAATTCAAGTCCTGATAATTTTGATTACTACTTCAAATTAATTCAATAAATAAGTTTTTTCACAAGTTAAGCATATTAATACTTGGCAATAAAAGAGTTAATAAGTCCGTATCGCATTACAAAAGATGATATTTTTTACTACAACCATACTTTATCACGAAAAAAGAAAAAAAATATGACCGAGACTATTAAAATATTTTGAATGTAAGTAGAGGATGATCTTAACTAGAGTAACTATTTAATCGATTGATTAATGAGTAGATTTGATTGTCATTTTACAACATTTACGTTTACTGTATAATTATTTTTTCCACACTCCGAAATAATCGGGCATCGTTAATCTTGTAAAGAATAATGTTTTTATGATGACGATCAAAAGCTCAAATGTAAAAATTGATGAGTAGAAAAAATGAAAGTAAAAGTATAATTTTTGATAGATAGTTTTATAATTTCTTATAAAACAAATAAAAATATAAAAATTTAGTAAAAAAAAGTAACATGATTTTCTCTTTATGATTAAGGACTGCTTATTTAATATGCGCGGTTAATTACATTGCATGAATCAAGCCTTTTTAGACATAAAGCAAATGTCCAATCAATAAAAAATCGAAGCCAACCTTAATTTTTAAGTAAAGTACTAACTTTCACAAATCATTTTCTTTATATACATTTTAATACTTGAGATATATATTTTTTTTTTCATGAATAACATAAATGTTCAGCTTGTGATGCAAATTTTACATGATTTCAAACGCTGAAGAGAGCATTTTTTCGGTCAAAGTTTGAACTTTAAGTTAGGAAACTTTACACATATATCATTAAATTCATTGCAATTTTAGAAATTCTTTCTTTTTTAAATTCTAATCAGTTCATATACTTGAATCTTTTCTATTAAGTAATAAAAATGTTCTTAATTATAATGCTAAGTACTATCTGCAAAACAACTAATTAAACAAAATCACGAATTTTACATAATATTCTCAGCTATGGTTTTACGCCACGTACTATGCTTGTGTATGTTTGCAAAAGTATTAAGATAAGACTGTTGAATGATTTATGAGCTACAAAGTTTTTTTTCATTTTTTAACTCATCTATTTTATTTCATTTGTTTTCCTTGTAAAAAAAATTAAAGTGCAATGCAAAGCACTTCAACATTGCTTTGTACATATTCATGTGCTCTAACAATAACTGAAAATTCAATTAAATACTAGACCTATGAATCTTTAATTATGAATTATTTACAATATAAAATTTTTTAATTAATTAAAACTTTGTTGCACTATTTAAATTAAGTAAACATTCTACATCAGTAGTTTACAGCTATTACAATGATAATATGTTAAAAAGTGTAATTTTAGAAAATGGTTTTAAATCATTCTCAAACATAAAGCGTCTGAAAAATTGGGAGCAAATGTATGACTTTTAGAATAAAATTTTTACTCCGTTCATTGTCCGAAAGATTTTATACATACTTCATAAAAGAACTTTCGAAATAAGTAAGTGCTTTTTTTTCAAAAAGTAATTTTTTCACAAGTGAGCAATAAAAGTTCAATTTTATCTTAATATAATGAAGAATGAACTCATGTATATTTACAAGATGACGCGAAGAATTTGTTTTGAAGTTATAATTTTTCCATCTATGCATAAGAATCATATTCTTTTATAAACAATATAGCTTATTTTCTAAATATTTACATCACGTACACGTAAATACAAAATAACAATAGACACTAATCCGAGACTATAGAGATTAGGTTTACATTCGTACACAAAACCAGATTCAATTTGAATTAAATTTTTTCAACAACGAAAAAAAATTATCTTTATCACAAAAAATCTTATATTGTTCTTTTTCTGATCCAATATCACTGAATTAAGACGATTTACTAATCAGTGAAAGCAGCCACACAAACCAAAATTATTTTGGTAAAAAACTATTTAAATAAATGCACTATACTTTGACTTAAAAGTAACTTAAAAAAAACCTTAATTTTTACATGACAGTTTTTCGGCATAGTTTTAGATATACTGATAGAAAGTATGCTTTTCCCTTTGGCCTCAGTTTTTATGCAAATTTTTTTGAAATTTTATTTGCTTCAAGTTACTGTGGACAAATAATTCAAATTAGCATTTTTGGAAAGAAAATTATGAGACAATTACGAATTTATATTATAAACTTTTTTAGTACTTACAAAATTTTAACTAATTTTTGATTCTTTATTATTTTTAGATCAACTATCAACATCCATTTGACTCAAATTTATTTCATTGCTTTCAGAATCATCGCTCCATTGTGATCCAGCATAAACTTCTGCACCAGGAAAAATGTAGACTCCTTTTTTAATTTGGAAATACGAGTTTTCTGCAAAATTAAAAAAGAACAATAATTAAATTTATATTCTTAATTGCAAAATTCAATGACATTTAACCATTTTTACCTGGAAGCCTCAGCGCTAAACTTGTTCTACTTAACGTTTTCCGGGGATTAATACTGGTACTTGAGTAAGATTGTTTTTCTGTGTCGATGCTTTCTTCATTCAGTTTTTGTTTTTGGCAGTCAGCACTATTGCAGCTGTCACCTAATGCTGAATCCAACACAGAGTCTATTGAAGAATGCCTAAATTTTTCATCTGTTTGATCAGTGGATTTCGATGGATCTACATGGTTTGATGATATCAATTCATTTTTTAAACATTCAATCATTCTAGGAACCACGTGGCAATCATCAGGTATACATAGCTCTTCTGCAATTCTTGATGATTCTAATGATGTTGTTGGGCTCTCTCCACAACACGTTGTCATACATTTTGACATCAAGCTTGAATCACCATCACAATTGTTTAAAAGAGGTTTTTCTCCGTGGCTTTCAGAAATATTGAAATTTTTTTCTACATTTTCATTGAATTCTGAATCAAATGTCATGTTGCTGCTAGCTTCTATGCTATCACAAGCTTCCTTACTGTCTTCTATACTTTGAGATGTACCTCTTTTGTCATTTCTTTGATGCTCATGAGTATTGTCATAAGTATTTTCACTTTCACTCTCTGAGGAATCCAATTTCTTTTCATAGTAGTGAGCTATATTGTTAAAAATTTTTGAACATTCATTAGCATCATTGGGAAGATATTCTTTCATTCCATTGTTTTTTAATTTCTTCCATGGTCTATCGTCAAATGGATTATTTGATTCTTCATCTTCGTTAGAACATTCACTAGAACTTCTTTTGGAGGATGCATTTCTAGGAAGAGATTCTGGGGTACCAGGTGCCATGGCTAAGCTATCTTGGGATAAATCTTGACTTGCTAATGTATCTTGATTCAAATTCCAAGAATCTGTATCAGATGATGTATCTGGTAGTAACTTTTGAGCCTGTGTCAATTGAATACTATTGTAGCACACTTCTTTAAAATTATCACCCAACCTGAAATTGCGTTGAAATAATAAATATATATTTTTTATAAATATGAGTAGTAGTTAAACATGCTCTGTGAATTTAATGAACTTTTAACTTACATGTGACACAATTCATTGACAATTACATCTCCATCTCCAAGGAGTTCCACATCAAATTGCAGATGTTGCAGAGATTCTCTGTTTATTAAAATTTGAGGCACAGATGCAGGAATACTTGTAGGTATTAATGCAACAGGTTTAACTTTTAATGATGAACCAATAACAATTAAGAGATCACAAACATTAAGATCTTTATCTAGTGTGTCATGAAAAGCATCAGGTAAACCTTCACCGAAAAAGACAATATCAGGCTTCATGACCCCCTCTGAACTAATGGCTGAAAAGTTGATATTACAATAAATTAAATCGGTCAGACAGTGTACCATCAAAAAAATAATGGGATAAAAAAAGACTCACAATTCTCATCTGCTGAATCTGTGGTTTCCTTAAAAGCAGGTAATGATGTTTCCAAACATTTAGGACAAAGTGGAATTTTTTGAGCGAAAATATCTTCTCTAATGTCATCTGCCTGTACTTGGTATTTACATTTTGTACATGAAGCAGTTGCAAAAGAACCGTGGCACTCAATTAAGTTTTCTATTCCAGCTACTCTTTCCAAAGTATCAATATTTTGGGAATAATTTCTGAGTAATTTCTTCTGTGTTTCTAACATTTTAATGAATTTATGACACGGACTAGGTTTAAATTGCCCGGGATATATTTCTTTAGCAAATTTATAGAATGGTCTAGGATCTTCAAGAAAATAATTTATATCAAACATAGCCTATAACATAAAAATAATTCCATTTAATACATGTAAATTGTTTTAAATCAAATTTTAATAAGACAAATAATATATTACCTGTGGGTCAGGTAAATCCGGAAAATCCTGAGCTAATCTTGAGTAAATTCCATCTCTGCTGCGGAAATCTGGAATTCCACAACTAACGCTTACTCCGGCTCCAGTCAAAACAATTATATTTTTACTTGTACGGATGAGATTAGCAACATCTTGGATTGTATTAACATTTGATAATTTTTTACGACTTATGTCTGGTTCCGCTATCATACTAAAAATCATCTAATGGTAATGATAATAATAATTAGTAAATGATCAGATTGAAACTCTTTGATACGTAAATAAAATTTTGAAAAATTTATAAGATTATACCTTCCATAAAATACTGTCATCCATATTTTGGGAGAGTATTTCGGCATCGGAGCAATAATATTTTAATAGCTCTCGTGGATCAGCACCTGCTTTTATCTGTTTTTCAACCCAAATAGCGGCTTCTCTCCAATTCCTAAGATCAGCATCATCGTCAGCTTGAGACAACATTGAAATACCAGTAATATCCGATAAGTTGGAAACAGTTGATGAAACTTCATCTTTATCGATGTTGGCATCTAATCTAAATTTCAAACGACATGTAAATATTTTTTATTAAAAAGTTCAACTTTTCACATCATAAATAATATATTATGATTATAGTATTGGGAGTATACTCACGGAAAGATGGTATCTTCATTAGTTGAATCACCTTCGGTTGGAGTATCCATTGAATTTGTCAAGTCAGATGTTGAGCTTGATGGAGGACTGGATTTTGAATCGCTGCTCGATTCAGTGAATCTACTCTGTTCACCTGAAATTTATACAATAAATGTATAATATATATTAAGCTTAGAAAAAAACAAAACTTTAGGGGCAATTATTAAGCGAGTGGCATTATAAGTAATGAATGAGCATTAAATATAGAAAGAAGAAAACTCCTATCATACAAGTACATCTTTTTTCATGCATATATTGGTGTTTATCAATCAACTGGCAGATGAATGGGCTAATATTTTTTCGTGACCAAATTGGTGAGTATCATAACATTATCACACTTTTACAAGTGTTAATATTGAGACAAAATTGTTTGTTTGGATGCAGCAAACTGTCAATTGTAAAGTAGAATTCTTTTTATCCACTTAATAGTTGGGTACATAATCGTCGCATCAAACGGTCAGTTTTTTTATATCATAAATGATGTTGGTGACATGGTTTTCTATGACATTGCCAGAAAACAAGAGAAATATTCGAAGTATTGTTTGTTATGTATTTGATTGACAGAACATTTAGGTTATATTATCAAAATGCAGTGCCAAAACATTGAAAAAAAGAGCCTAGCGTCTAGTGCCATCTATGAGATGATAGTATCTAAGATTTCACGTTCGATCCGAAAGAGCATGGCGGATGAGTGTCACACGCGTGCGACATTCACATACATGTATGCATGTATGCATGTGTGCATGTAAAACATATATACCATCTTTAAAACGGAATAAGAGATGAAAAAAAAATTAGGTGCGAAAAAAATAGGTGATAATTTTAAATCATCATCGCAAAGAATGTCAACGGAAGAAAAAAAAAGAAGCGACACGTGTCTCACGAGCGGAGAGGAAAAAAAGAAAAATTACACGTTAACGAAATGAGTCGATCCGTAAAAGTTGAAAGTGTCATGGCGACCGCTGTTGCTCAGTTGGACAAGAGAGGCAAGTGGCGCGATCGAGTCAGTCGCGAGTAAAATAAAGATAGAGCGAGCATAGCGGGGGTGCGCGGGCACAAGGGGCCAGCGAGCTGCGACGAGTCGTCCGCCATGTTGAATTCGTGGAGTCGGGGTGCGGTCGGCGTCACGTTCACGTGTGCATATATAGCTATAGAGGTGTACTAGGCCTCGGTAAAAGTCAATATGGTGGTCGAGCGCCAAGGCTAACTCGATCAGTTGGACTCACCACTTGAGTTGTCTTGGACAAAATGTTGCTCGGTCGGTCGTTGGAGCGTAGCTCCGTCATCCACGGGTACTGGCTCGTCGACGTTGGACCGGAGATCGAGCCCGAAGTCCGTAGCCAGTTCCGAGGCGATACCGCCCGACGCCATTTTGTTTCTAGTACAGGCGAGGCAGTAGTAGCAGTAGCAGCAGCAGCAGTCGAGCGGGACGTTCGCTTCGCGCGCACACTTACAGCCTGCGCAGACCACGGGAGAGCGTGACTCGATGCGAGCGAGGAGTACTCGGGCGAGGAGAGCTCGAAGAGAGCGTGGCGCTGGTCTTCACGCGCTGCATGCGTGTGTCGTGTGCGAGCTCCAAAGCAGTCAGCAGACTCTTTCGCGGCGATGGACTGCGACTCGTTGCTGGCCAGCAGGTGGCGCCAAACGCCGTCTCATCCACTGATCTACGGCCTACGCGCTCGAGTCTGGCATAGGAGAAGGGAGTCGAGAGCCATCGACGAATAACAGCTAGTATAGGCTCGTTGTCAACTTACCGGATCAACTGCCCGCTCTTTTTCAATGCATCTCGATCTAATAATTTACCCGCACGGATCAAAATAGTTAAATGCATTGCCAGATACGCTTTTCAGTTTTGTTTAACTGCAATATATTGGTTATTTAAGCGATCATCGAAAAAAAAGGTGGCTTGTATTATACAAACACATTCTCAATGATACCGTCATTCTTAAGATTATTATTTTTGGTGTGACTTAATTTGTATGTATATATGCGTCCGATGAAATGCATTATCACATAGTAAAAAAGCCTCTTTTTTCGAAAGTCGCGCCAACTTCCTACTCCGACTTTATACAACTTTGGACAAATCGCAGCGTCGAGGGCTCGAGACTCCTATTCGTGGCAGTTGCGATGCACTGCACGCACATCGCCAGGCTCCCACATATAAATTATATCTGTATATGTGTAAGGTACGGATGGATTTGAGTATAGGTATGTGTGCACGACAGCCGGCCGCCACTCGTCAGTCGTCAGTATACTCGTCAGCGTGTTGTCGAACCTCGATACACGATATTAAACGATGATACTTGTTTTATGATGCATAATCACTGTGCAGATTCCTTGTCGGCACGCACAGCTGACATTTTCAGTCGGATTGAACCACTGATCGTATTTCTTTCCTATCGGTAAGTTGCCGATTGCATACGCTTGAAGGAACAAGCCCAATTAAATATTTACTTGAAAGTTCGATGCTCGTGCGGCCAAATATCTCGTGAATATCCAAAATGTGCTTTAATTAAAACCCAGTCGCGAAATAAAAAAAAAAAACAGTACCTTTTTCCTCAAAAAATTAAATGTTTCAGTTGATTTGGCTTCACAGCTATACCGACAAAACCTATGCCGAAAATTTAACTAATTCATGATACGTTAAAACTTTGTCCACTCGATAAATTTTGTTATTTTTTGCTTTAAAAAAGATATACTTCCCTTAACAACTGTCAAAAAGCGCTAAAATCGTTGATAGAATGACGCTTTTAGTTTCATAGTTGACCACTTCATCGTTCAAAAAAATATACGAAAAAATGTCAAGTATTGATACAATTACTTTCTTCAGTGCTGCAGGAAGTCAATGGAAATGAAACACCTTACATCATTGTCATATTACATTTTATAAAAATATATTTCATTTGTTTGTCAAATATTTATAGGAAACAAATATAAATCTCAAAGAACACGCTCGTGTAGGTACACCTTACCGTTTTACGATCTACAATATCTTTGGTATGTTAATATCACTAAGTGAAAATGTTTTAATTATTAATTTGCTCTTAATAGTAAGTGCAATTCGATCGCAATCCAATTGTCCCGTTTGATGTAGAGATCATACAACTTTTCCAATAACTTAAACCTTAAAATCGTCATCGACATCATTATCGTCATTGATATTCGACTCGACATCAGATATATCGGAATCGTTTAAAAGATGTTCTTCTTCCATGGTTGTGACCTGCGAATCATCACGAAGAAAAAAAAAGAAAAAAGATAGTTTCAAGAATGAGAGAAAATTAAATAAAAAGCAAAGAAGCTTAACTTAGGTATATGTAACTTGTACAAACACTTCTACGTAATTTTATTTAGCAAAAATGTGCTTTTTACAATTTGCATATTTGTATACGCAATTGAAAAATATTTTCTACACAACTTTCACGGTTAATAATTGTGTCAAAAAATAATCCAACAATGTATATTGAAAAATTTTCATCATTTCGTACCAAAAGACGCGCAAGTGCAACACTACATTTTTTACATTCTACACAATCGTAAAATAAATAATTTTTGATGCAATTTGCGTCACAGTTTCATTGGCATAGAAAAACTAATTGTTATCTCTAAATAAATACAAATATTATAAATGTGTAAAACAGTAATAAATGTACAAAATAAATAATTCGAAAATTTGTCGAAGCAATGAGCACCAAAATAAAATGATGATTTTAAATTTACTTATATTTCACAACTCAATTTATAAGTTAAGTAAGTGAACACTTATTTTGACAAACTCAAAACAATACAAATAAATATAATGAGCGAAAAACAAATAAACAATTAAGACTGCTGAGTTTCAAGTAGTTTTTGATATCAACAAAAATATCAAAAGTTCACAGAATGGAATACTTTATTAAATAAAATATTTTTTTTTTTTCATAATCTTTTTTCTACATTGAATTCTGAACAGTCCTAATTTTATGAATTCATTTTCAACTATGGCTATTATTCATGTAAAAAAAAATGAACTTGAAATTAGAAAATGATAGTAATAAGTCTACGCATACATAAATAATCAAACAAAAACAAACAAACGAATATTTTTTAGAAGGAAAAATTAATCGATGTACATTTTGAACATTGTTCGTTAGAGATTAAATTTTAAATAAAATTTTTTTCGACTGTAAATTATGTTTCAAAGTAGTGCTCATCATTAGTTAATGTGTGAGATTTTCGACAACATACCACGGAATATCTCACACGATCACAATGTCTTGAGGTGGAGTTTGACAATAATTCCACAAATTGAGCTCGTCGAGAAGCATCTTTGAAGTAAAAACATACGCCCAAAAAGATCAGTATTAAACTCACAATTGTAGCCACAAAATTACCTAAAAATAAAATAAAAGCAATTTTAAGGAATCAGAAAAAATGAGAAGTAAAAGATTTATTTCTTTTTACCGCTGATCGTGGTCGTTTTGCTAGGGGCTACGATGCTTATTGTCGTAATGGGTTTACTTGATTTTACAGAATAATCTTTTATATATTTACAAATTTTGTCAGTGTGCCACTCAAATTCAACGTAGCATGGCTCTTCCTAAAATAGCAGTTATAATTTAATCATGGGTATAATTTGATGATTGTTTATCAATGAAAATTAAAATAATCTTACATATATAATTTGAGGTATTTTAGAAATTGATGATTTGTCACAGACGATAGTTATTGTTGACCGATAAAAATAACCAAAATGATCACAGTAACTTCCATTAGTAAAAGTAAAGCGAATTATATTATTCAAATAGTTAAAATCGACATTAACTTGAGTTCCGTAGTTTTTATTGTTATCACATATGAAGCTACCATTGCATTTACTTTTATTCCCACATAAGTCTATTGAATATTTATTATCTTTTTTAGAATTTTCTACCTGTAAAGTAACAGTATGGTAAAATTCCGTATTTGAAATAATTTTAGTCGAATGCAATAAAAGAATATACTTCAATTATTTGATTATCAAATGCAGTTATCAATGGAAGTAAAGATCTAATATCGCCATGATTGTTGGAAATCGTACAGTTGTTATTGTATTGCCCATCTACTTTTTTTCCACACACAATACTGGTCTTCCATTCAAAATTGTAAGTGCAGTCCTCATATTTTATAAAAATAGGAGAGCCCTGTAAGATATTTTGTTTTCTTTAAATTGATTATTTTTTATTAAGTGATAAGATTCTGTACCTCGTTACTGTTGACATCGCATAGAAAAGAAATTCTAGAATTAATTCTTTTACTTTGATTTCTTTCGCAAATTGAACCATTGCTGTATAATAGGACAGCACTGTAACTGCTAGTAAGTATCGGGAATGGATCAGGGTATCCTAAATTCTATTAAAAAAAAAAGCAATTTTACACTCTATATCTTATTGAAATACTGATAGAATATGTAATTTATATTTACAATGGATTTTGATGGTTTTCCATGAATAAGCTCTAATTTGCAAATACCAGCTCCATCTTGGCACTTGATATTTTCGATCGACACAGGTAATATTGCTTTACAAACGTTTATGTAGAATATACTATCATTTGTATGTATTTCTTCATTTTGGATTCTACGTATCAATTGGCGAAAATTCATCTCACGATTGTAGGTAGCACAAGCTCTTGACTAAATATATTATAAAAGTTACCAAGAAATAGACAAAATTTGAGAGTATTTCATTATTTTTACCTTTTTTTCGCAAACTAGTTGTGTACTTATTTTTATTACATCAATGCAGGCTCCTGCCATGTCAACTTCAATATCAAATTGATCACCGCAATAAAATTCAATAATTGTATATCTTTTACTCTTATCATAAGGACATTCACTGCCATCAGTATAATTCAAGTACACTCCAGTATCTTTCCACAATAGTTTTGAATTTGCCATTCCCCCTGATTGACTAGAATGAATTCTACAAGCACCTAAACTCATATTTTTTATTTAATAAAGTTATGAAATTATAAGTACATATTAAAATAATAAAAGTATACCTGTGCCTCTTAAACAGTTTGTCTCTTTGATTGGTCCACATATACTAAATTTATAAAATGTATTAATCCCAAAAGGTTCAATAGTGTAGTCATGATTCATTAATGAAGTTAGATTGTAAATTTCATGATTTATGGGATTTTTAATGATACAATCATTATTTTTGGCCACTATGCTCTGATTTTGTAAAACTTCTATAGAACATGCAGCTGGAGTTTTCCATGATAATTCAAAATTGCACTTGTTTAAACCATTCACGTAAGTAGGTGTTGACCCCTGTAAAATTATGTGAACAAAATAGCTTTTAAAATAATTAAGAGATGCCTTTCGATCAATACTTACAACAGCATTCATGTCACATATAAAGTATATTGTTGTTTCCATGTCAGATCCTGTAGGACATATACTTCCTCCAAAGTATTTCAGAGTTAAGGTTTTGTTTTCATTATATTTAGGATTTTCTACTGGTTTTCCTAGAGATTTAAACCTGAAATAAATTAAATCCATCATTAAAAGTTATTCATAAATACCTAATAACCTCCATAACTGAATATTACTTTTGATTTTTATTATCAATTAAACAGGCAGCACTATTGGATATGCATAAGTTTGGTCCATATAAAATGCTGTGGCATACATTTAAAATAATTGTGTACCTATCATCTATTTGCACCTCATAATTATCAGACAAATTTTTCAAATGACTAAGATCATAATAATTAAATTTATCAGTATATGTGCAATTCAATTCTATTCTACTTGAACAAGCTGCATGTGTTCTCCATTCCATGATAAAATTACACCCTTCCTGCTCCTAAAAAAATAATTTTGAGTTAATGTTTGTGTAGTTATGTTTGAAATTAAAATTTAAACAAAAATAATTACTGCAGGAAATAATTCTATCTGATCTTCTTTATAGTCGCAGATCATTTTTATTTTTGCAGTATAAGGAGCACCATTTCTACATTCTTCACCAGTATATTTAAAAATAATGCTGCCATATTCATGTACAACTTCTGGAGGTTCTCTACCTAAGATTAAAAATTATATTAGTATTCCTACTCTCACAGGATTATATAGACGGTGCTTACAAAAACTAGCACTTTTCTATGTTAATTGAAATAGAGAAGTGCTAGTTTTCATAGGAAGTTTTAAACAGCCTACCTATGCCAATTTCTTGCGATTTTCTGCTTAAGCAAATTGAATATCCCTCTTCTCCTTTACACCTTTTGACCAATTGATTACACATTTGGATTCTGAGATAAGTGCCTCTGTCATGTTGAATTTTATAATCATGAGTATTATTTGCCAATAGACTAAAATTAAATCTATTACTCTGTGAATCCCATACATCACAGTAGTGGGTCTAAAAAAATTAAAAAATTTTTATAAATTGGTTTTGATAGATTTGAAAGTTCATTTTCTTAGTGTCTGATGTGTTACCTTTTTTGTTTGTGTTGCGGGATGTTGAATTATACTTGAAGTTTCAGCCACAATGATGAGAATTATAAGAAAGACAATGTATGATTTCCACCGCATTGCGTTTCAATTTTAAGGAATGTAATTACAAAAAGCAAGAAAGAGTGTTGATTTTTACCGGTTTTCACATGGATATAGTAGCGGTAAATTCTGAGCGAAACAAATAAAGATTTGAGATAAAATTGAGACGTCGGAGTAAAAAACAGCACGAGATTGTTACCGGTGTTAATATTTGACGACTGCAGCGCAAAATGCTAGCTTGGAGTTCGAACGTCATCCTTGTCGATGTGAGTATGTGACTAGTTAGCTCTTTTTTTCTCCGTCTTTCTCTACTGCATCTCAACAAAACGATAAGATAGTTTCATGTTACATGATTTCTCGAAAAGGCGTTCAGGTAGTATACCATCACAATAACAATGGAACTTGGAACTTTGACTTATTCCAAGAAGTCATAATTTTTACGGCAGTTCACGCTATAAAAGCCAAACAAAAGATCGAGTCAGTCTTGTACTGCAAAGTATTACGGCTTACACCTACTGCACGAAGGGTCAAACGATTATTGCAGGATGTCTTTAGGGTCCTTTGATGAGGAAGCTAAGCGACATAAACAAAAATTAGACACAAGTCTGGGTGATAAAATAGTTGAAGATAAGTTGGATTGCCGAACAGAGAGGTCGCGCTCAACAACTCCCACCAAGTTAGTTGGTAAAAAACGATTTTTAAATGAATTTCAGGCAACTCCATTCGAATATAAAATCCTCAGTTGAATAAGAAAGAAAAAGAAATTGCGATTTAATGGAGTATTAATTCAAAATAATCGTCATGAAAAAATTCCCAATATAATAATGCCACTAGTAATAATGACGATGATAATAACATTTCTACATGCACTTGCACTGAACCTGCGAGTGCATCATAGCGCATTAGCGCGGGTATTCAAACGTTGAACAGCGATTTCATTTAAAAACAATCGGTTTTCGTAGTAGATACTTTTTCTATCGATTATTTGTTTATATTTTGACATCGTGCACTGTAACTTGTGTTGAAAATCTAAAAAACCTCTGTTCAATTGTTTATCTTCTCTAATATGCATGTCCATTTTATTTACAGATTGAAGGTACTCATTTCTGCTATCCCCTGTAATGAGAACTCAGAATAATCCGTGTTGCTTGATGAATGATAACTAGACTATGGATTTTACTCGAATCCTCGCGCATCTGTCCTTCTTGAGTTCTGGGCGCTGTAACGTCGGCGAATTTTTTGCGCGGGTTTTTTTTTATTGGGGTTGGTTATGTTGTAATTGCATAAGCAGTTCGCACGTTGCTCTGCAAAAAGTACTTTTGCAATTCACTTTTTTTATTCAGAATCAGGTGTCTTATCAAAAATAGAATTACAAACTATCATTGATTACCTGTGAAAATGCCAAGGAAAGCTTCTACTTCTGTCATGAAAGATGAAATTCCATCGCGAGGTAAAAGAATCACCAGAGCATCTTCGAAACCTCTCTCCGAAACTTCTAAAACGAAGGAAGAAATAAATGGTACCGTAATTCATGAATTTATTTCAATATATCGTATCTTCATACTTCAATTACATAGACCGATCGCTGTCTAGATCGTTCAGTCGTTTTAAGCGAGGTATTACAGTAAAAATACTAATTCTGGTTTAGATTGATGTAAAATATGTATAAACACGTAATTTCCATTTCAAGTTTTTCCCTGCACAAACTGACTGAATTAATAAATGTTGAAGATAATTTTGAATTGTTATATCATAATGTTCAATAATTTCAGAAGTGATTAAAAAACCTCGAATTGTTGCAAAAAATGGAATAAAAAATAAAACAAGAGAATTAAAAACAGACATTGATAAAACTTCCAAAGAACAAGTCAAAAAAACAGCCAAAGGATCAAATAAAAAGACAAAAACTGATACTTTGGAAAGAGCTAATTGCCCGGGTAAAAGTAAAACTAATAAAACTAAAGGGAAAGAAAATATCATTAATCAAAATAAAAAAAGAACTCGTCAAGATTCTGAAGGAGATAAGAGTGAAGACTATGAAAATGCAGAAAAAGTGGAGCCTGCAAAATCCAACCCTATTAAAAAGAGAAGATTAATTATTCCAGATTTTGAATGCAGCGATGGATCCGAGGATGAATATAAACCTGGTAAGAAACAAGTTAACTGATAAATTCATTTATTTCCTTCATCATGCATCAATAATTTGTTTTAGATTCAGATCTCTCAGATGAAGAATCAGATGACAATTTTGCAGTGGAATCTGAGAGCTCACTTGAAGAAATGTCAGAGAGCGATTTCAGTGACAACAATGAATCGGAAGAAGATAATTTACCCGTAAGTGGCTCAATAATTTGAATAATTTCAATATCTCATTTATATTTGATTTGTAGACAAAAAAAGTATCAAAGAACAAAACATCTAATGCCAAATCAAGTTCTCATAAACCCAAAAAAGCATGTGCAACTAAATCTCTAAGGAGCAAAACAGCAAAAGTCACAACTGCAAAATCTAAAGATTTACCTATTCCAGAAACTGTGGTAGAAAAATCTGCCAGCTCAATAACCTGGCCTCATTTGACTTGGGAGTTTTTACAAACTGATCATATAATGGACAAAAATAAACGAAGACCAGATCATCCTGAATATGATCCAAAAACTTTATATGTCCCAGAGGAATTTTTCAACAAACAAACTGCTGTATAACATTCTAATTATTAAATATTTCATTAATGTAATATGATACTAATCACATACAACATTTCTAGACAATGCGTCAGTGGTGGTCTCTTAAATCTGAACATCTGGACACTCTGTTATGTTTCAAATGGGGCAAGTTTTATGAATTGTATCATATGGATGCAGTTACTGCTGTAAATGCTGTTGGCTTAGCAATACATAAGGTGAGAAATCGACTTTTGATATTGAAACCCACAGTAACTATTTTGCCATTTTTTACAGAAAGACATAGCTCAAGCAGGATTTCCTGAAAAAGCTTACTGTCGTTTTGCTGGTGGTCTTATTGAACAAGGATATAAAGTTGCAAGAATTGAACAAACAGAAACTTCAGAAGCTATGAATGCAAGGGTAGCAAATGAAATGAAAATTTGTAAATTTATTTTCTTATAATTTTTTTTCTTTTATAGTCTTGTAATAAAATAAGTTTGATTTTAGTGAATACAAAGAAAGTTGATAAAGTTGTAAGACGAGAAATATGTCAAATCAGTACAAAAGGAACTAGAGTTTTTACTCAGTTAGATGAACCAACTAGAAATCCAGCAGCTTCTTTTCTTTTATCATTATATGAGAAAAAAGATCAAAGAAATTCAACTATACAATATGGTGTTTGTTTTGTTGATGCTTCTATTGGACACTTTTATCTAGGTCAATTTCAAGATGATCAGTGTAACTCTAGATTACTAACATTGCTTGCTCACAGTCCACCAGCTCAAATTGTTTTTGAACGTGGGAATTTATCATCGGCCACTCTTAAAATATTGGAACATTTAGCACCAAATGTTTTAAAAGAAGGTTTATTGAAAGAAAATCAGTTTTGGACTCCTCCAATGGTTTTGAAGGTATTTCCAACATTTAATTATATTCAAGTACTCATTTCATTGTTAATATAATAAACTATTACAGTGTCTTCAAGAGGAAGAATATTTCAAAAATGATGAAGATTCAAGTTTTTCATGGCCAGATGGTCTAAAATCTTTTATTATTGAAGGTATTTAAACCAATCCTTTTATTTTTAATTACTTACTATTCAAACACTAATGAATCTTCTTTTTTTCTTTTCAAGATAATTCTGAAAAGGCTGTGGTTAGTGAAGGTAAAGAATTGGCTTTGAATGCTCTAGGAGGCTGCGTATATTTACTTCGTCGTTATAAATTAGATTATCAAGTATTGTCACAGCGAAATTTTCATTCTTACATTCCTCCAGATTTTACCTGTGATTCTAAATCAACAGAAACTAGATTTGCTCAAAATATGGTAAATAGCTTGTTTTATTATCTTTCAAACAAACTTCAACTTGAATAATGACATTTTCTCATTTTATATTTTCTAGGTATTGGATGCCATGACTATAAATAATTTGAGGATTCTGGGCAATGATGGATCATTAATAGACACCTTAGATACTTGTTGTACTCCATTTGGAAAAAGGTAATCATACATAACAATAAATGTCAAATTTATCTGTACTTTTGAAGTAATTTATCAACAGATTATTGAAAGAATGGATTTGTAAGCCCTCCTGTCAAAAATTAGTGATTAAAAAACGACAAAATGCCATTGGACAATTACTGGATAATTTGGACGTTATTAAAACCGCTCGTAGCATGTTAAGTGAATTATCTGATCTTGAGCGTCTTTTGAGCAAGTATGGTTAAATTATTTTAAATTATTCAACTTTTTTTTAAACTAAACTAATTGAATTTTATGAATTGTTAGGATTCACGTTCAAGGAAATGCAGCTATAAAAAAAAATCATCCAGATGGACGAGCTATACTTTGTGAAACTCAACATTATACCAAAAAAGCTATAAAGGAATTTATTGAAGTTCTCTCTGAATTTGAAAAAATTCTGCTTATAACTGATTTGTTTACTAGTAAGTTTTTAATATTCGAATCTAATTCCCTGGTTGTTAAATTATGCATTATGATATTTGAATTTCAGAGTTCAATGATCGCTTGATTCAAGAATGTACTCATTTCCAGCCGGCTGGTGATTTTCCTGATTACAGGGAACTTTTAAAGCATTTCAAAGTCAGTAAATAAAAATATAATGAGAAAAAGTACTCATATCAAATGCTTTACAAGTATTCATGATTTCAGGATTCTTTTGATCACGATGAAGCTCTTGAAAGTGGCATAATAATTCCAAAAAAAGGAGTTGATAAAGATTACGATGCTACTGTAAAAATATTTGATCAAATTGACAAAGAAGTAGATGATTACGTAGAGGCACAAAAAATTTACTTTAAAGGTTCAGTAAAACTTGTTGGATCTGAGGGTAAAAGATATCAAATTGAAATAGCTGAAAGTCTATTCAAGGAAGCTGATACTGAAAGATATAAAGTCATGGATGCTAAAAAAGGAAAAATTCGATTTTACACAACAGAAGCAGAGGTTTTTCATAGTTTGAAATAATGGTCGAATTGTTTTTCAAAATATTAATTGATGATGTTTCAATTTAAGGAACTGCTGGAAAGAAAAATACAAGCTGAAGAATTACAAGATGTGGCACTCAGAGATATCAATAGAAGAATATTTGGAAAATTTAGCAAACATTATCATGAATGGAGCAAAGCAGTTCATAACATAGCAGTACTAGATTGTTTAATTTCTTTGGCAGAATATGCTCGATCTAATGATACCTGTATTCCAGAGATATATGACGATACAGATAATAAAGGAGTAAGTCAAGCTAAAATTATTTCTTATATCATTATGGAGACGAAAATTCATGTTATTTTATGTTCAAGTCTCTCATTGAAATTAGGGATGGAAGGCATCCTTGCATTAGTCTTGACAACTATATTTCAAATGATACTCTAATGTCAACTGATGGAGTTGCTTCTTTAATAATTTTAACTGGGCCCAATATGGGTGGTAAATCTACTTTAATGCGCCAAGTTGGTCTAATAACAGTGATGGCTCAAATTGTATGTACCTCTTTCAAATTGTTTTTGTTCCCAGATGTACCAGAAAAACTAAATTGATTTTTTTCTTTATTTGTAGGGTTGTTATGTGCCAGCAGCAGAATGTAAATTAACTTTAGTAGATAGGATATTTACTCGTCTTGGAGCTAATGATGATATAATGTCAGGACAAAGTACATTCTTAGTCGAGTTGAAAGAAACTGCTGTTATTCTAAAACATGCCACGAAGTACTCATTAGTTTTATTAGATGAATTGGGTTAGTAAAGGTCACAATTAATGTAACTTTTATAATAATGCATGTTTTAAGAAATGTGTTTAATTTTTAACCAGGTCGTGGTACATCCACTTATGATGGAACGGCAATTGCTGCATCAGTTGTAGAGGCTCTAACTAAAACAAATTGCAGAACTCTTTTTTCCACTCATTATCACTCTCTCGTAGAAGATTATAGAGCAAACAATAATGTTTCTCTTGCTCATATGGTAAAGTTTTTTCTTCATCTTTAATTTCATTTTATAGATATGATATGATATATAATATTCTTCTAATTTATTTTTTAGGCTTGCATTGTAGAAAATGAAAACGAAGATCAAGCTTGTGAATTAAATGTTACGTTCCTTTATAAATTAACAGAAGGTAGTAGTCCAAAATCGTATGGTTTTAATGCTGCTCGATTAGCTGGAGTACCTGCGAATATTATCAACCGAGCTCATAAGCTTGCATCAAAGTTGGAAGCTGAAGTAAATCTTCGGCATGCATTTACAGCACTGTGTAAATTGTCTGATAAAACTGCATTTAAACCTTTAATTCATAAGGGTATTCAAATTTTGTCCAAATGCTGAATTGTGTCATCTATGTCGTCGTTTACACTTTTAAATTAATGTAAATGTGTTTTTGTTGTCATTTTTATTTTCTTCGAAATATTGATCATGAATAAAATTTATGATAGTAGTCTTCATGAGTCTGTCATTTTCTCTGTTATTATTAGTTGTTGTATATAACTCAATTGATCATGTATGCACAGATTATACTGTATAATTATATCGGATTAAATACTCAAACACGTAAAAACTGCGCGTTAAATGCATTAAATTTTAAGTTTCGCACTGTGCGTATGTATTATTTGTCTACAAATGCAAAATGTCCTAATTTGTGCAAAAATAAAATGAAATATTCTGGAATACGCGTTGTACATGCATTTATTGTTCCTTTGGTTCTTTTTAATATTTTATAGGGTATAAATGATCGATTGACAGACACTCTGGGTCAAATGTATTAAAATGTATTGCGCAAATGTTTAACAATTACAGTAAAGATGATAATTTTCACAGTAATTAAATATAAACTAAAAATCAGCGTTTCAGTTGTGGGATATTGCAGGACACCTAGAAACTGTAAAGGCTCATAATCATACGATTGAATTCTCAACTTACTTTGAATATTGCACTACTAAATAGCTAAAAAAGAATTGTGAAGTAGTGAATCAAGATTGGCAAGCAACAGCAATTACAGATGTCCAACAAGTGAGAGATGGGGTTCAAATATTAAATTTTTAAATTTGTTCAATAAATTTTTTTTTAAATATCAGAACTCAATTGGATTTTTGACATTTGAATAATTACACCTTTATCAGATTGTAATAAATAAAACTTATCGTAAACTTTCGACTGAATTAAATAGTCATCTAAATTTAATAAAAGTAGACATTTAAAAAAACAAAATTCTACAGAATATTCTTTCTTTCAGTTAATAACATTTCTGTTATATGAAACCGATGAATTAGTTTTTTCCAATTTTAACTTGCAATAATTAACATCTTTACAGATTTCAAGTTTTTGTTTAAGAATATTGTGTAAATCATGATTAGACGCGATATTGACATTCTATTCTGAAATGTATGATATTTACGTAACTAAAACTTTATTCAGAGATATATTATGGGAGGTATAGTTTTACTTAACAATGGGAATTCGATTGCCGATCAACTTGTAATTAAAAAAACATAGGATTTTTCAAGTGTTATTGCAGCAGTTTAAGGTATTTATACAATTTATAACAAATCATTATTGTGGAGACGCGCAGGGGGCGATTTGTGACGAATTAATTATGCATACGATAACGAATTACAGTTTGCGCCGGCTTCGTGTGTCCACTCCATACTGCATCGTATTGTTGGCAATTCGTGCTTTGCCGCGGGCCGTCGACTCGACTGTCGAGCAGTAGTGATGACACTACAGACTTAGCTATTCATACATATGTATATATCAAAAGCCTTAACATAAATTCGAAAGTTTACAGAAAATTTAAATGAACTTGTAAGCCGGAGAACTGGCAAGTCATTCGCGGCATCATACGTTGCAGTGAAATTGCGGTGGATTTAGATATTGTCGATGTGAATTGTGAAAGCTTACTTGCTAAAATTACTCTCCATTATTAATCATGGCTAACAATAAAGCAGGAAAAGTAGAGAAGAAAAATAGTTTATTAGTAAAAATCTATCTGTTGGCCTACAATTTTTTGCAAGTTGTTGGGTAAGATAGTACTAATGTTTTTCAATTCATTCTCAACAGTAATTATTATTGAATCATTTTATTACAGTTGGTCATACATCTTATATCAATTAGTTAATTTTTATTATAAAAATGAGCATGAGAAGAACACTTTGTGGAATAATGTGTACATATCAGTTATCATTTTTCAAAATGCTGCTGCTTTAGAAGTATGAATCTATTACATTCTAAAATTTTATTGGTAATTTTAATTAAATGTTTATATTTTTTAGATCATACATGCAGTATTTGGATTAGTAAAATCAAATCCAGTTGTTACAACATTTCAAGTTTTGAGTAGAGTCATGGTTGTTTGTGGTGTTATTATTGCGACTCCTGTTACATATGCTGCTGCATCTCCAGGACTGCCATTAGCCTTATTCGCCTGGTCTATAACTGAAATAATCCGATATGGATATTATTTTGCAAATCTTGTTGGGCATGTTCCCCATTTTCTTGTTTGGTTAAGGTAAACTACATATTTGATATATCACAGATATTATTTGACTATATAAATCCTACTGTGTCATCTGCAATTTTAATATAATATAATATGTTTCAGATACACAACATTTATTGTACTCTATCCTATTGGAGTAACTGGAGAGCTTCTGTGCTTTTATGCAGCAACAAAGTACACAAATCTAAACCAAAAAGCCTATAGTTATACTCTTCCTAACACTTGGAACTTTACATTCAGTTATCATTACTTCCTCATCATAGTCATGCTTTTATACATTCCACGTGAGTATTCAACAGTAAATTCAATGAGTAAATAATGTTATTGCTAATTATTATAAATTAATTTACACTTTATTGCTGCCCTTTATTTTAGTTTTCCCTCAACTCTACTTGCACATGTTTTCTCAGAGGAAAAAGGCTTTAGGAACAAATGAAAAAATTTCTAAAAAAGTTAATTGAAACAAAATAATGTTACAATATCATGAGTACAAACTTCAAACTGGGATAATGAGTATATTAGAATTTTTGTAAGTTTCTTGCATTGAATGAATTATTATCTTGCCCTATGTTATTGTACATAGTTTGTCTTGGAACTAACTGGTTCTAAAAGGAAATGTTTATATAAATCATCTATACTATTGTTATTTTTAAGTTTTTAATAATATTTTAGTAATTATAATCCAACATTGGGATTAAGGTAATAGTTTATACTTTGTAACTTTTTGTTTGAAAAATAAAAACAAAAAATCTTCAAGTTTTGTTCTCCTTTTTTTTCAATAATTTATATTTATATATATTATTTAAATAAAAAAAGTTCTGTGTAAATAAAAAAAAAACAATTTTTAAACTTCTAAAATACCTTAAAATTTAATGACTTTCATGCAAATTTTACAGATTTTTCAAATATCAACTGTAGTGTATTTCTCTGATATTTTTAAATGAGCTATCAATTATATTTTTAATATTGTATATCCGGTAAATTAAGTACATTCTAAATATCTATGTCTAATTTCATGAGTTAATGCCTAAGATATAAGAAAAAACTTTGTAATTTTTATTAAAAGTCACTTCTATTTGCCAAAGCCTAAATGTATATTATAGAGGGAAGTGGGTTTTAACTATATAGCTTTTTTAAAATTGATCATTTTTTAGAATTGACAACCTTACAAAAAATTTAAATTGAATATTTAATTGATAAATGCATAATAATCTTTCTCCATAGGAAAACAATATCAATGAGAATAGTGCCTCATCGTAAATACAAACGTTTTTATAACATCAGTCAGTATCATTTGAGGATTTTAGTACATATAAATTAGAAAGGTAGGAAAAGTTAATATTTTTTTAATATGCAGGATCAAAGAGATGGTCGTGTACACGCATTTAAATAACTCAATCTGAGAATTCTGAGCAGTGGTCACGAGACCGCGGGCCGTCTGCTTAGTGCTTTTTGATTATTGTGTGCGTGTGTGTGTGTGTGTGTTTAATGTGTATAATTCTGCAGACTCAGCTGTACCAGTGCATCTTGCTGAGTATTATAAGTATTCTTCGATTAGCATATAGATTCGATCCACGCAAAAATGACGTGCAACAAGAACAACAAGAGTAGTGAATTTAGGTGAAAATAATAGACATACGATTCGATTCTAGATCTGATATACGACAATAAGTAAGTTCTGATGTTAAGACTTTCCATAAAAAATTAGTTAAGATCTCGTACCTATATCGACAAAGAGAATGACAGACGAATTTACTTGAGGTTTACCGTTACTAAATGAATTATGAAGAATTTTATACATCGTAAAAAAATATATGGTACGTCTAGAAATTAGCAGATTGAAAAATTCTTCAATTCAAAACAAAATGTTTTTTTAAATCGTTATTTTACGCTGAACAATGTTTTCCGGCTTTAAAGAAAATGTTTTATTGTGCATTAGAAAAGGCGGAGGATTCAATTCGTCATAATTTTGTTGGTAATAATAAATTTATTAGAACGATGAATTAAACTAGACAACTGAAATAAATTTAAAAAGGACATCCTTGTTGACACCCAAAATAGGAAATTTATCTAAAGCGCCCTAAACTCGTTTTTAAATTATATTTGTGTGTTTTTACCTTCTTTAAGCGTTTACATGTCGATATCTTACATCTATAAGAATTAAATCACTGTATTTACATGCTTGATTATAATTCACTTTGTTTCTTTGAATACTGTAGTATTCAAATAATGTGAGCTAGGGTTTAAACAGCAACACTCATCATAGAAAGCAAAGCCCATATCCACTTGCTCGCCGTAGAGCCATTTGACGCTACAAATAATTCTTATTCTACAAAAAAGTAATCTGTACTGATCTAAAAATTTACAGATAATGAGCAATTTTTCATTACTCGATTTATTATTAATTATGAAAATTGTTATTAAATTTATGTGTAATCGTTTTTTTTTTTAAATTTTCAACTTTTTTTTTAATGTTTAATTTCGAACCTCAGAGCTTTTTAGACACGATATTTTAGTCCTATATCAGTCCCACGCAGTTTTATTCTTCATTATTATTCTTACAAAATTATACTTCAAAATTATTACCTCCTCTTGTAAAACGACCGGACCTTCGCGTTTATTTATGTAAATAATAATTTATGTAAATGTTAAATGATATCAAGTTATAATATAGGAAGTAACTTCAACATTTAAAAAAAAGTATATATTTAAAGCTTTAAACGGTTTTCAGAGTTACCATAAAAATGAAGAAAATTAAAGAGTTAACAATAACTACGCCATGGGGTCACGTAGCAGCGAAAACGCATGGACAATCATCTAGCTATCCTGTACTTTGTATTCATGGTATTTTGGATAATGCTGGAGCTTTTGATAGACTAATAGCCAAATTGCCAGATGATTATTACTACATTGCTGTTGATCTCCCGGGTCATGGACTTTCTTCACATTTTTCTTCCGGATTACTATTGGATTTTTTTAATTATGTTTTAACAATTAGATACATCGTAGAATATTTTAAATGGGAACATTTTTATTATGTAGGACACAGTTTTGGTGGTCAGCTTGGAGCATTTTACAGTATTTTATATCCTTCGCAAATAAAAAAAATGGTTTTAATAGAAGGTCTGAATACTCCAATAGTACCAATTACAAAACTTATTCCTCGATTAAGAACAATAAATGCTAAAGTAATTGAAAGTACAATCGATAAGCCAGAAAAACTATTTACTAAACAAGAGATTATGCATAGTCTCATGTACAAAAGGAGTTCAAATTTAAACAAAAGCGCCGCTGAAGCTCTTTTTCCCCGAGCTGTAACACAAATTGGCTCCAAATTTAAATATAATCGTGATTTACGCTTAAAGTCATACGTTATACCAATGTTTGACTTGAACCAAATTTTAAAATTACTTCAGAATTTGAATACCGATACATTATTGATAATGTCTTTTGCAACAATTGATCGATTTCGATACAATAGTACATTAAAAGATGCTTTGAAACATTTGAGTAACATAAAAATTGAGTTTGTATGTGGTAATCATGATGTACACAATAATCAACCTGAAAACCTAGTGGATAAAATTGTAACATTTTTTTGTCTTACTAGCAAATTATAAAGATAGCAATTTAACTGTTAGCTGTGTTATTAATAAAAAGAAACTGTTACAAATTGGTAAATTTCATTCGATCTTTCGAATTAAGGCTATGTGTTTATGTTCATGTATTTATTATGTAATTATTATTCGCATGAAGCGAACGGTGGATTACATTTGGTTTTAAGAGTACACATGTTTTTGGAAATTCGATAAAATAAACCAGAGTTTTTGAAATAATGTTGGCCAGTTATTTCGGTAGATTTTAGTGACAATAACAAAAACTTGGACCTTGTGAGGCAATATATCAAGAATTAAATCCGCATCCATTATTGAGCAAAATTTCTGAATTTCTAACTCACCAGAAAAGCCGCTAAATGTCCTTAACAAAAATTATATGACATAGATTTTCAATGGCATATTGCCTTAATTAGCTTTGCCCCAAATATAGATATTACTAAAAACACAGAGAACAGCTTGCGGTGCATCTGACTTCTCGCGGATTTAATTTAACGCATCGCCTTAGACACTCACTGATTGAGATCATTTTCGTAAAGTCTTAACTCATCAAAATATCAAAAAAAATTTTCACCCAACACCCTCGTCAGAAAAGAGACTTACCTCAGTGTATGAATTGCCTAGTATTTTGTCTTCTTGGGCTCAGTCTGAGATCACAAACTTTACTAAAAAAAGCAATAAATGGAATCGATTAGTGAAACCAGCATACGAACTGAAAATAACTTGGTCTTTAAAATTGTCTAGAAAAAAGCCGTACGCAAAGGAAACAGAAACATGAGCTATTAAAGCTTTGGCGTCGCATTGTTATGCTTCAGAGTAACTCAACTTTTTCTAATAACAAAATAAATTTGTCAAAATTTTCGAAAAGACTTGAAACTTGATAATAAAAAATTAAATTATTAGTAAAGTGATTTCCCATCTCATAAGGTGATTATAAACTAATAAGAACGTACAGCATATAACTATGCGAAAATTTTTTATTTATAACAATATTTAGTTTATCAAATAGACGTTTCACGCAACATATGCGTATTCATCTGCACTTGAAGATGTGCGTTCGATGTATTGTTTGTCAATCAAGTTTTCAATACACTTTTTTATAATTGAGATTGATGGTGCGAATGAAACTTTCGATTGTCCAAGAACCTGAAATTGGAATGAATTTTTTGTAAGAAAATTTTTAATTCAAAATTAAATTAAATTAAATTAAATTTTTAATCAATTAATTTAATTCGATAAATTCAAAATTCCACATGCTTCAAGCTTTGTATAAATACTTTATTAATGTTTTATAGTTCAAGTCCTTTAAATACTTTTCAAAATTTGCTCAAAGATATGTAACAGAAAATAAGTCTTACCTCTTGAACAAGTTGATTATGTTTTAAAATTTTACGACTTTTCATTATTCGCACTATTGCAGCTTGTAAATATAATTTTCGATCATCATCTACACTACGATGTGTTGCTTCAGCTTCTTGAGGAGAATCACGCTGCAGTGCTCCTGTTATACGAAATTTAGTTCTTTTATTGTAGTAATTCGTATTTAATATCAAAGTTGAGTCTTCTTGTAAATCAGTTTCGGGAGATTTTTTCAAAATTTTACTTTCTATTAAAGAAGCAGCGTGTTTTACGAGTTGATCATGTGATAAGTGTAACGACGAGGCTGCTTCCTTACAAGAAATGGTATTAGATTGTTCGAATAAAAGTAATAAAGCCATCTGGTATGTTTGAACTGTTACTAAGTAAGGTTTCTTTAAATAATTTAATTTTAATTCTCCTTGACAAAGATGATGTAGCCAAGTCAGTTTTCTACCGCTAAATTGCGCGTGATAAAATTGTTCAAATGCTTGCACAGATTTTTCAAGTTGTTGCGGTACATGAAAAAGACCAGGGGATGGCGGAAGACCTAAAGGCCAAGCTCCAGCTTGTAGCACATACACCATAAAACCAATGCCTAAATCGTTTCCGGTTTTATTTTCTCGTAAGTACGCAACAAATTTTGTATTTAAATCAGCTGAAACGGTCATATCAGTAAACATACGATGCAATTTATTTGTAAATTCATAACCACACGCCTGTTTAAGTTTATCTATCATTATTTCTTCAGTATCCATAGATTGAGATTGCTGATGAATTAATCGTTTGGCTAACATTCGAGCGTAAAATTTTTGAAAAACATCTTTATCATCTACGTATTTAAATATAGTGATTGATCGTGCTAATTTTTCTTCCACTTCACTTTCTGATGCTACTTTAGATGATTTCTTCAGCAAAGAATCACAGTACTTGGCCAGCTGAAATCAAAATAAAATCATATGATTGATGTGCATGCAATTTGGTCATTAATGAATGAAGTGAAACTTCTTTATGCAATTGTTACCGATTAATTTAAACAAATATGTGAACTTATAGTTCAGTTCTGATGAGGCTACGTACGAAGCAGCGAAACGTTAACAAGTTTTTGATTTTATAATTTTACTTGAATAAATTTTACCTTCTTTGTGATAAGTGAATAATAGCGTTAATAATTTGTGTTGTTCCCTAATTTTTTATTTAATAACGCAGATCCTAGATTGAGGTACAGCCTGACACTACCGTAATAATTTTTAATCATTCTTTACGCGCGTTGGGTACGGGAGATCAAGTCATGCAAAATGAGTGTCCCTCCATCGATCCGTACGGACTACGCTATAATCGTAGGTATTTAGTCTCACAAAGAGTAGGAATCTAATGGTGACTTTGGATTTGACGTTAAACAGCCTCCAAGTTACAGCAAAACAAATCGATTTTTCATAGAGAAACCCCTATTTATTAAAGAAAATTTTAAGAGGGTGGAAATTATTACGTTCGAGTTTGCCTTTGCATACTTTAACTACTTGAACAATTGAATTTTTTTTTATTTTTACAAAAATTTTAACAACTATAGTTTTTTTTGTAACCGTATCAACTGAAAAATGTCTTCTAAAAAAAGCAAAGGTATATCCGAACGTAAAATTGTCTAATCTTTTCAAATCTTTTATAAATAATTGAAAATATCTGTAGCGTTAATTTCATGTTCAAAGTCGATTTCAAAGTCACTATTCGTACCCCCGTCAAAAAATACGTCAGATATGATATTTTAATTTTTCCCCTCTGCTTATTCTGCTAAATTTCCAGAAGTTGCCATAATTATTCCGCACTCTGCATAAAGCATTAGCGTAAACTTTATAGCTCAAGGGAAAACTAGCGGTAAAGTTGCAATTATTATGTTAGAGCACTGTAAAATCTCGCGCCAATGTTATGGCTATAAAGGACACACTCCCTATGAGCTTGTGTTCCTCGGGTAATTTAATTCACGTGCAGGTGTAATTATGTCTGCTGTGCCATAGAGTAAGCTATGTTGGATTTGAAAAAAAAGGTGAACCATTTTTAGAAAGTCAAAAAACATGAAACTCATTGTTAGAATTTCCGTGTGATTTAATTTTAATTAACCCAACATTTTTTAATGCGCTACTTTTTAATAATATTCAGAATAGCAAGTGAATAAATATTAGAATATCTTTCCCATGATAAAAAACATTCATTTCTGAATCAAAACATACCAACTCAGGAGCTCGCGTAGGTTGCCGAGGAGATACTCGGTGATTTACAACAGTTGAACATGCCTTGTCTAGAGCCCCAACAAATGTTTGATCACCCTTAAATAAGTCTTTGATCATTTCCATATACTTCGTATGTACATCTAACATATTTTCAATGAATTGCACATGAATCTAAAAGTATATTGTAGAAATTTAAGGAATGGAAATAATTATAACTTATTTATATCAATATTATACTACTAACATTATCACCATTAAGTAATCCGATTACTTTTATTCCTTCATCAGCTATGTGGTCAGCTAATTTATCGACTAAATGTATCAATCCAGAAGGAAGCGGTTTTAGCAAAGTATAGATAAGAGATAGATCTTTCCTACGCTCGTTTTTAATCATATCGTCCACTTCTGTATGTAACCATTCAACGTGAGCTGCAACCATTTTTTCCTCGCAACAATGTTTTACCTGAAATTTATTATGAGAAAGTTAGTATATAATTTTCATAAATGAACATTACGATTTTAGAAAAATCTGAAAAATAGTCGTTCCATATAACAAAAGATAAAATTACGCACGAATAATGCACTAGAAACATATACTGACAATTGTGAGTCAGCAGAAAAGATCCTCACGATGTAAAATAATTCTGAAAAATTGACCGAAACTAGACTCTAGGTTTTTGTGGTCGGGTCTATTAACAAGTTATTAAGAATATTTCCTGTAAAACGTAATCGTGGAGTTTCTCTAGTTAATAGGATACAAAACGAAACCTTCCATAATGGGCAATAAAAAGATCTTCTGTCAAAGAGCCTATTGAACAAATTATTTGAAAATTGTTTTAGGATAATTTTCAAGTGAAAATGAGTAGTGACTAACCAAATGGATGAAAATCTGGGATTTTAATTTAAGACGTCTGTGCTTAACATACGAAACTCTTATGTTTGAGTTGTTGATCTATACTAATTCATTAATTGCAATATAAATGTTGAAAAACAGTGTGCAATGTTTTGTAAATTACGAATTATATTTTTACTATTCTTTAATAATTCTTACAAATAGTTTCCAAATGTATATTCAACCGATTCTCAGTGAAATCGAATGACTGAAAAATTTATTGTTCCCATGTCAGAACCGTTCTCGAATTTTACTAAAATAACTCTAGCTTTCGAGAGTAAAAAAAAAACGAAAATAAAGAAATATGAAAGAGCTTTTTGATGAAAATCGGCCAATTTTTAAAAAAAAATATACTCTATAGTGATTCAAGGACTTTATAGGCTTGTTTCGATAGAGTAATACACAAAACCGAAAATCAAATCGAGATATACCCGAACTTTTATCTCCAATAATTGCAATTGGCAATTAATTTGACTTCAATTCCAACTGCCTATGAAAACCCGAGAGTATTGAAAAACATGCAAAAATTTTTCTAAACTATTAGAAAATTATGACATGAAAGAGAAATTTTTCATGTTCGCGGAAAATTTATATTTGGACATTCAAATTCACTAAGGCCAAACAAGTATTGAGAAAAGAACTATTAGGCTAACTCAGATCTTAACATTTTACTTGAATGTACACCGGTTCGTCTTTAATTCTGAAATGGTTAGAAAACAAATACAGCCTAGTAGAAAAATGCCTCTTAGCCTGTATACTATTGTTATTATTGACACATACCTTATTCACACGAGCGACCCTTACTTCGCTACGTTTATAGCTTCTCACCAACTAAGAATGAAAATCGAGACTTAATATTAAGGAGCTTGGATAACTATTTTGAAAATTTGGTACTCAGTTATGAGAACTAGTTCCCAATTTTTACACGCGACAATTACATCGCTAGATACAGCTAAAATAAAAATTGTTTTTTGCCATGACGGAATTTTGAAACAAGAGTGTTAGAGTTTTGGCACCGGGAGCGCGACAAAATTTCTGGCGACCAAATCTCCGGTGTCAAAATCTCTACCGAATTTTATTTTATATTTTTCTACTTGTTAGATGTTTAGAATATGTAATATTCTTGTGCTTCGCGTATTTACAAATATTCTATAAAAATGACTGTAAATTCCGTCATATTTGGGCGTGTTTTGGGATGCGTGTTAGTGTGTTTGGTATGTGTATAAGTGTGTTGGGATACGTGCTAGTGTGTGTTCGGTATGCGTATTAGAGTGTTTGGGATGTGTATAAGTGTGTTGGGATGCGTGCTAGTGTATCCGGTATGTGTATTAGTGTGTTTGGGAAACGCGTGTTTTGGGATGCGTGTTAGTGTGTTTCTGATTTTTTTCTAGCGGAGATTGTGTCGCGTGGAGATTATGTCGGTAACCCGTTGGCACCATCCATAGATGTTATACTCGTCTATATGCTTTAATTATACGAATTTATTGCATTATATATGAATGAATTAAAGGATAATAATTTAGTATTTTTTTGCAGTATTTCCATAAAAATCTCATGAAATAAACAATATCAAGAATGATCGAGAATTTTTAAATTAATTCTCCGAAGAAATTATGAACAGTTTTTCATAAAGTAAACGAATATTGTTTCTTTGAAACTTTTGGGTTTAGAGAAAAAGTCTGACAATTCATAAACGAACTCGATTTTTTTCTAACTGGAAATTTTAGTAGGGTTTCCTAAAAGCAACAAAGAAAATCGGTACGATATTCTAGCCGTGTTAATTATAGCAGTGCGTACATTACTTCCTTATAGGGCATCGAACATTTGACTCACTGTAACCTAGAGTTTTTTCTATCTTTTTTCGGAAACTTAAAAGTTGCAAAGATTTTACGATATTAATCACTTACAAGGAGACCACTCAAGCTCCGGGTCATGGATTTGGGGTCTCCTGGTACCTAATACTGAAGCTTTAGTTTGATCTCATTTTTTAGAAAATTTTTTACATTATAAAAAAATCGTTGTTATTTTCTATATCGATATATTAGTACTTAACGGTCCCCTATACACGGTGTGAAATGCTCAGTCGGTAACACCAGCTACCTAGTTATATTTATGTTCAGTCTGAAAAATTGGAAAAGTTATTCGCAAATAATCGATTTGACGCACATTTCTAATACACTCATTAACATTGTGATCGAGTTTTATCCAATTCCATGCATTATTCAAGGAGAAAAACGAAAACTACGAATAATCATAACCTAAAAATAATCATGAACAATGTTATTTAATAGGTTATGATTATTCGTAGTTTTCGTTTTTCTCCTTTAATAATGCATGGAATTGGATAAAACTCGATCACAATGTTAATGAGTGTATTAGAAATGTGCGTCAACTCGATTATTTACGAATAACATTTCCAATTTTGCAAATTTAGCATAAATAGAATGGTAGCCTAGCGTTACCGACTGAGTGTGTATAGAGAGTCCTTAAACGAAAAAATGCAACGATCAAAAGTTTTAAAATTATTCAAAGAATCCGCTTGAATTTTTTCAGAATTTTAGGGACCATCTACCACTCTTATGTACTTCTATATCGATATAGAAAATAACAAAGATTTTTTTATAATGTGGAAAATCCTCTAAAAAATGGGCCCTAAGGCCCATGAGATCAAACTAAGCACAGGGAGCTTCAGTATTGGGTACCAGGAGACCTTAAAAATATTTTGGAGCAAATCCATGACCCGGAGCTGGGGTGGTCTCCTTGTTAGTTAATCCTATGAATATGTACAAAGAATATTTTACTGACTTTGGAAACTGACGTTACATGAAGAAATTTATGCGCCCTTAATTCCTCTTGACTTAGCCGCCATGTAACTCGTTCCATGTAGCGGGTAACATTAGATTGTTGTAATAATTCTGAAGCCTCTCTTGAGTAAAAGTCTCCACTTTGGTTTAGAAACTGAGTTTCAAAAATTTCTTGATAAAACTATGAAAAATAAATTGATTTATAACGTTAATGTAAAGCAAATAATAAGTTGCAATGAGTGAGAAAAATTAAGAATTATTAAGCATAAGGGCTCAGTGAGGGCTTAAAATCGAAAAAAATGTTAATTTATTTTTGTATAGGATTTTCGTTTTTTTCATCAACTTTTTTAAATTAAAAAATTTTGACTTTCCATTATGATAGAGTTGTTTCAGGTCAGCCTTTTTGTATACTTTAGTCTTTGAACTTTTTTCCGTTTTTTGTTGTTTTATGTTTTTCTAAAACCCACGTACGTGACTTGATATTTAAAGCGAACTATTTGAGCTGCAGAAAAGGTGATGTAAACTTTTTTTGGTCGCGACCTTAAGCGAGATGGTTGGACCCTCAAGTCACCGCGACGAATAGTTTTATGATTGATATGTCAAAAAAAAAAAAAAAAAACAAACAAACAAACAAATCTAAAATTGAAAAAAGGAAGCTCGAGCGTTAGAGCAGGGCGAGTTAAGGGCACAACAAAGGGTACGGTCACCCGAAGTTCCAATCAGAACCATTAATGTTCTGAAAAAATGTTAATTATTATCTCAAATCGTTTGCTTTTGATATTACGACCAGCGCTTTTTGAATAAAAAAAACGCCAGAAAAAAGAATAAAAAACAAATAAAGTTGTCCCAAATTTAATTATAAATAATTCTTGTGGTTTTCAAATACTTTATTAAAGGATATTCAAGAAGAAAAAAATGGATAAAAGTAGATTTCTGCACTCACATCTAATTGTCCTTTCGTTTTGTACTCTTCAACTCTTACAAAGCTATCAATAACACCACAAATAACATCTGTCGTACTTATTTGAGCCTCTCCTAATCTATCAGCATGAATTTCTTCAAGTAGAATTGCGACAAGAGAAGTTTTTAAAGACTCGATCATTTTTATTTTCCAAATAAACAGTCCAAGTTCTCCTATTTCTTTTTGATCCGGATTTTGATAGGCCAACACTGAGTTTGGTCCGTAAATAATTTCAGCTTCACTGAGTTTTGCCTTTTTGATATGTTGTTGATTTAAATAAAGGTATAACTGATGTAAATAGTTCAGGCCTTGAGAGTACTCGCTCCAAGCTGAATGGTAAGCTTGAAGTAAGCATTTTTCTCCTTTTGCATTTACATTTTTTAATAAACTGGTAACATGTTCATTGAGAAATTTTTCAGTTTCATTATATAAGCGATCAGCAAGCGGTTCAGGATATGCAACGCACAATGAATAAACGTCACTGGAAATTTAACATTTTAACATATTTTATCACTATTAAATTAATTAAATTTTGTAACATTAATACTCAGAGTTATGAAATTTTTTATACAAATAAAGAAAAATACGAAAGCAATCATATTGACAAAAATATTTCCATAAAACTGGATTATTTTTTATTTTGACGCAATTTTTTTAGCATCCTAAACAAAACCATTTAGTTTTGTTATTTCTCTTTCATATAATCAAGAGATTCTAATAATTGTAAAAAAAATTAAATTAAAGTGTACTACATCGCCTGTAAACTAAACGTTTTCGCATTTTTTATCTTTATTAATCTATCGATGACTTTAGATGCTCTACAAACGAGCAAATTTCAAAATAATTGGGCCTGTGATTATAGAATAGACTAGCAAATCATTGATTGGTTGATAAATAATCATGATTATTTTTGTAGTTTTACTAATTTAAAATATTAAAAGTTCATTGTAAATCAGAGTAGTAAAAACTGTTACCTGAATCTATCGTTCCACGTTGCCCTAGGAATATCTGCCAAAGTTAGAACACCTCTAATGGTTTGTTGTAAGACGTTCCAAGTTTCATTGAAATCAACAACTTTCGGCTTCAGAGACATTATGAGTTGCGGATCCAATTACACTTGTCAATTTATTCTGAATCTGCAAAGTGAAAGAGCGATACTCCATTTTATTTAAGGATATGACATACTCGTCTAATAATAAATGAATTGTAACTCGCTACGTTTGTGTAATAACTTCACTCCACAGTGCAAAAAAGTGCCACTTACACCTTGGAAACGCTGGCAGAAATATAAATTTAGCAGAGTGCTATAAAATTAGACACGATACTCATGTCATAAGTAACACTCAGGTTTGTCAATTTTTTATTGAAATTCTGTGTCATTAACGAATCAATTTGATTTCATGAGTTAAAGCTATTTTAATTCAGAAATCAAAAGGATTTCTGACCACATCATGATACGTTTATTAATGGTCTCAATCTGGAAGATCGAATCAAATACTCAAAAAAAGAACATATCTGGGGTCATAAATACCTCGATCGCATAATATAAATACTAGGTATGCGTGAATTATCGTAAAAGTGAAAGGATAGAAAAGCTATGGGGCCATTCAAATAAGCCTTGATTTAGAAAATTATTTTTCTTCTTCTCTGCATATCATTTGGAGCAGTAACATATTAGAGGAGAGCTATCCTAGCTACACCGCTGCCGAGACAGACAGTTAGTGTTGTAGAGTCTTTCGATCTTATAAAAAAGGGAAAAGTTAACAGATGAAACAATAAGAGGATCAAGAATAGCCAATTCTACTTGTGTTGGGGCAGCAACGCAGAACAGGACAATCCATTCCGACGGCAGGATCCGGTGATTCGTGATTTATGGATATTTTTTAATTAAATTTTTTACAACCCTATTTAGTAACACTTTATGGCACGGCTAATAGGACTCTGGCTGGACTCGTAAAGTGTAACTCATTATCCTTATATCGTAATATCACGTTTTCTACGAAGAGTTCCGTTACAAGAGTACGTTTATGTGCTAATTTGAATATAAAAGTGTTGATTTTCGTGGGAAGCGTGCGCAAAAGACATGTGTGCGTGGTATAGGCTCTTATGCATTGGTTTTTGCTTTAACACGCTGAAAAGCAACGTAAGAGCGTGAGTAAAGTGGTAAGCGCGTGGATGCTAGCACACCGAGACTCGGCGCAGATGTTGAGAACCGACTGGGTTGAAAAAACTCAGGAGTGGCGTTTTAGCAAAGTCATCGACTCGTGCGACAGTTAGTATTTTCGGAGGATTTAAAATCGTCGGATGAGTCCGAAATGCCAGAGCCAGTTTATCTTGAGCCACGAAAACAGAGGGTTGATCCCTAGCTAAGCTATGGACCAGAGTAGTCAGAACGAGAGGAAACGACGACAATTTTGAGTAAATGACGACGAGGTCGATCCTAAGCTTTAAAGCGAATGGTTTTAGGCACTGGGTATGTAATGAGTTTGTGATTGAGATGACTCGTAACTGGTTGATTGTGTGTGCGATTATAAGAGCGGAATTAAAGCGCGTTCATAGCTGCACCATTTGACCCGGTGTGCATAAAGACTATCTTAAAATTGCTATAGAAATAAAGGTGGATAAGCCAACGCGATTTAAGTTCTTTTTGGCAGCGTGCATACTTCGGTTGAGTAACGACGAACAGATTACCCAGTAGTCTCATACCTTCTCGTTTCCTCGACCAAATCCCACAGCGCTTACCATACCGGAGATTTTTTGGATCTAGAGATATAACTTTATACAATAAGATGCAAACATTTTCAATTCTGATATATTAGAAAAATCTGTGATTTGATATATATTTGATTTGAACAGGTCAGTGTACTTATCTATTTTATGAAAAAATCCACTAAAAATTCCTTTTTCAATATTTTTTTTATAATATTATAATCATGTAATGATGAGTAGATACAATCATTATCAATCATACAGAAAATGTAAAAATAAATGAAGTAATCGTTGATACGAAAGGAAGCTTTGTGAATTTTTTACCCATTAATGTCTAAATTAAATTTTAGTAAATTCCATGTTTTATGCTTCTCTCTACTATTGAAACAAACCTTTAAAGTGCTCAGCACCTTTTTATTGTATTTTTTTCTAAAATCACTTGGATGATAAGTATTAATGAATTTAATTAAAAGGAATCACTTAACTGGGGAAACATAAAAAACAAAGTTTCATAGCAGAAATGGCTTTATCCAAATAATTTACCAAAATAACAAATTATAAAAGACTTAATTTGTACAATTTAAATTTTTGTGTGATTTATTTTATTGTAAACTACAATAATCTGTAAGATACGTCTGAAAGGTCAATAAAAAGTTTTCATAAATAATGAAATGTTAAATGTTTTTCGCTTGACAATGGCTACTTTTAAAATTAAAAAAAAAAAAAAAAAGACTAAATTAAAATTCATTCATTATAAAGAACATTTTTGCATTCAATAATTTATTGTTTTTAAACTTTTTACTATCATGTGTGTACTTACAATTGGTTTGAGTATAATTACTGTAAGGTATAATAAACATTTATCAAACTTAAGATAATTGTAAAAAAGGATTATCTGCCTGAGTGCAATTAACTGTATCAGTATAATGTAAGCAATTTGTTATTCTTTTACTATTGCATTTTTATAGTATATATTTTAACAAGTTATAATATAGAATACTCTATAGTATATTCTGTAATATATTTTATGGAATTTATAACAAATTCAATTTCAAACACTTTATTTCAATAATTTCACTATTATCAGTACTGTACTTATCAAAATACAAAAAATTTACAAAAAAGAAGCAAGTTAATATAAGTGATTTTGAAGTTTTTATAAAATTATTAGATCCACATTTACTAATAATGACACTAAATTATATCTTACTTAGTTACATCAATATTAGTTAATATTCACTATAACTACTTTTGATTTAAAGTAATTCATTTTAACAGTGATGTTTTACTTAATAGTTATTTTTTCTATTATCAATTTTAAAGAGCGGTAGATATATTTAATTTATCATAAAATGATTCATTAAAAATGAAAACTTCAAATTATTTCCATCCAACTATCTACAATTTACAAGGAACGTCATTGTATATCTACAATGTAAAATTTTGAACGTAAATAATAGCATCATAGCTTTAAAAATAATTGAATATATAACATTTAAATGATTGTTACTATATTGATTACTTAGTATAAGTCAAAAATATTTGAACTATAAATTATATTAAAAACATCTTTTACTTCCACAAAGTCAAATAAAGTTTATCCATTAAATACTTTATAGTTTATGATTATACAGGGATGATCTATTTAAAAGGAAGAATATACACATTTGATATGCAATAACAAGATCATTTGCGTGGTATTTTTGGAATAATTTATTAGAAAAATTACTAATAATGGTAAAGACATTACCTTGCTATTAGTCTGGTTTCATTGACACAAAAATAAAAAATAAAGATAGTAGAAACAATTATTATTATTCTTTGGATAATTCATATACTTATTGCTTTCATTTATCTTAAAAACTATGTCATAACCTGATATTACTCAAGCAAAAATCTAATATTTCATTCATATAAATGTATAACATATTTTTTAGAGTAAGTTGTGAAAGAATAATAAACTTTGATAATACCTATTGACATTTTAATGACACATGCCAGTTACAGTCGTTTGAAAAACAAATGTAGCAAATGTGAGTTTTTTTAATTTAGGACATTCATGTATTAATTTTTATAATTTCACGTACCTTCTTTTCATAATTTTTTTTGGGAAATCCTAATATGAATGAATCAAATAAAAAATCTGAAGCAGGATTCCATTTCAATTGAACTGAATTTCGTAAGTCGATTTTTATGTTACATTAAGCGATTATTATTCAGCAAGGTTAGTCCATTTTCAATACGAAATGCTATTTCGATAAATGTGCTTTAAATGTATACTAGTATGGTGAGATTATAAAATAAAATTAAATATTAATCTCTGACATATAATTAAAATGCTTTTCTTATCTCAGTTTACCGTGTTTTAATTCTTTATACACTGTATGTTTATAAATAGATCAATCAAACTGAGTATTACAGGATATTATATTTGTAACTGCATGGTTGCGTTGATGCGTTAACAGCACATCCCTACGTTGAATGTTATTGTAGATACGCCGGTATAACCGTAATAATCAAAGCGTTACAATGATAGATCAAAATTTTTTACTCCGAAAAACGTTATGCTTCAAGAAGTTTGAGAGTCCCAATAAAAGTGGAAAATATTATAAAATTGTTTATAATAAAAATATTAAGTTTTACATCATCATTTCATATGTTGAAAGTTTTTTTTTAATCCAGCATTTTTAATAAATTTTTCTCTTTAATTTCTATCTGATTCATCGGCTAAAATAGAGGTTGAGAATTAGGCAAAACCACATGGTTCAATTGACCAAACCATTCTTCCATTACTTTTCCAACGCCGCAGAAATGCATACAAAGTTAATTATTGATTTACTATATTTTATATCAACTCTCATAGGACCAACGTTTCAGTAAACATTTTTCTTAAAAAAATTTATCAAAGGTTTATATTATTTGACCAAAATGTGTGTCAAATAATTGTAGATCAATGACCTTTCTCCGTTTGGTTCATCCTGGTTATCTAAGGACTAATTTAAACCATCCTGTGTTTTCTATTTAGCATCATTCGAACTACTTCCATTATCCTGCAGTTTTTTAGTGGAACAGGAACTGGAACATATATAAGTGGCATTTCACGTCAACTCTCCCAACATTTTGCGTGATTAGTGGCGCGCGCGGGCAGCCGGACACGAAAAAACCACGTTTTTTCTTCTTTCTCTCGCTACATCTCGCTAAAATCAAAAAACGCCTCTCTAGAAAATGTCTATGCGATGGGAAATTTCCTGATCTTCCGATCTAGACTATTTAAAAAAATCTTAAAAATGAAGTTTTTGAGATAATCGACTTTAAAGTTTTCCCAGCGATTTTCTCGGGTAAAGCGTAATATTTCGGAAAATCTGACCTCACCATCGAAAAGCTAAGGCAATTTTCCATCGAAATCATGTGTTCGTTTTTTTCTATAGGTGCATTTTAATACTTTTACAGCGATTTGCAAATTTAGTGATTTGACTTAATTCTGCCGCGCCGCGCGGCACTAGGAAAGTTGACGTGAAATGCCACATAAGCATACGGAAGATCGCACGTTCTTCCGGAAAGAACTGGACGAAATTAAAGTGGATTTATTTACGTGGAAGGAGATATATATGACAATTCAAGCCGTATTTGTATACTAAAAGCATTATTCTGGAATTGAAATCGTCTAATTCCAGCTGTCACCACAAATATTTGACTGATGAAATGCTTAATGGATACAAAGTGCCGGGACGGATAATCGTAAGACCTTGGTTCGAATCTCACTGTGATTCAAATATTTCTTCGGAAGATAAATTGTATAAAAATACATAATATATTTGAAATAAAAGACTACGTTTCAAGAAGCAAGTTTTATGAAATTAATAGTATTTTGTCGCCTGGTTTTCTAAAAAGGAAGTAACTTTCACTTAAAAAAAAATAATATTACAGTTGTAATAAATAGGGTTGGGAGGGCCACGAATAAATGAGACACTTTTATTTAACTCAATTAATAAAACAAAGGTACAGTTTATTTATGAATGTTGTGGTCAGGATGTCTCGCTCTCCCACACTCTGTTTAAAACAGCTTACGTGCCTACCAAGCACACCCAACGAGCAGAACCACTTCGGAGTCTTCGAGCGTACGTTCGACTCCGCGGTTCAAGTCAATCTGCTCTCTGCTCCGACTTTTCACGAGGCTTCGCGCTGTGTGGCGCTCGCGTAGCGCGCCCTCTCGCGGCTAACACACACACACCACACACTGTATACATATCAGATTATAACACAGTATTTGCAGTTTTGCATTTAAAAAGTGCACTCGACTGTTAAAAATCTGCTTAGACAGTTTTTGACTTAAACACCACAAACTTTGTATTACCAATTCATCGAAATTAAGTCATCAAATGTTTCTGCCGGGACTTGTCGATGTACCCTCGAGTTCCCGTGAAAAAATACTTATCACGTGTCAAAGCTTTGCATATTCATTTAAATCTTTAATGCAATCGGATCACGATTTGCGATCCTCGATTATTATTGATAATATATTAAGAGACTGATCAAATTTGATAAAAACATAGAAATAAAAGATAACAATTATATTCGGGTTTTTGAAGGTTTTTTTTTAAATTTTACGATTTTTGGATGATATTGGTATTCTCAAGTTACTGAACAAATTGCACGAATCATTACCTGATTTTCTTTCTGTATAGAGTCACCTTAATGTACTAGTGACGCGGCAGATACGTATAGTGTATTCTGCATTCTACTGTATAATAATCACATACACAAATATTGTACCGAGGCGAAACCTTGCTATTAAGAATCACTCAAATTTTACTATGTGTATACATAGTTTTCGAGTGCTAAGTCTGTGTTGTTTTCATTTCTCTACTGAAAATATGGTACAGAAATGAAATGAATGTGATTTCGAAAAGTTATTTCAATTGTGAGAACTGTCGTCATATCTTCAATGAAGATTTCTGATGAATCAATTTTATATATTTTTATAAAATGAAATTCTTTGTTTTGCAAATTTTAAGATTTGACTTATCACAAAATTTTTTATAATCTATAATATTACTATTAAATGATTAACAGATGAGATTAAAGTATTTTGAAGGATATAGTATGGTAAGTTCAAAGCATATTTTTTACTTTTTATTAAAGTTTAATACTGAATTCTGAATAATGAAAGAGGGTTATCAGTTTTTTATACATCTACTATTTAGAATGTTTCTTCACTATTTTTATTTCAACCACAATGATTAATATTAACAGTTACTGGTTGATATTTTATATTGAAAAAAAAGTTACCATTTGTTCGTGTATAACTTGAAGACAATTTAAAATATAACCTTTAATTAAAATATATAGCATATGATAGCGGAATATCAAACACTTCTGCTTGTTTGAGAAACTTTATCATTAATTTATTGTGTTTTTTAACTTGAGAAACTATAGAGGAATCTAGCTATCATTTAAATTGAAAATTTCAGAACTTTAAAGAAATATTTTCTATAGTTATGATACGACTAAAATAATTAAATCTTTATTACATCTAATACTAATACTGAATGTCTTGTGCCATAATTATAAACATAATGTAGTAGATAAAAAATAAGTATATTATTTTCTTTTAACTATTAAGTTTACGTTTCTATGTACTAATAATAGTAATATAAGAACTAGAAAGTAAGCTTGAAAAAAGTTTTTGGCTTAAACGTTACATTATCAAAGATGATCAATTTAATATTACAAATTAATACCTTATATCTAACTTTTGTTATTAACATATGTGCTTATCTAGAAAATGGTTATCAATTATTGTACGATCAAAAATTTTATAAAAATGTTAGTCTGTGATTTTCAAATGAATTTAGAAACTGTTGATGTTCATATTTGCTACCAAATAATATAATTGCTCATTTTATGACACAAAATTGCATTGCAGCATCAAATGTTTTGCTAAACAATTGCTTTTGATTGTAGTTGTAGTCAAGTTGAAATTTTATAGCTTGAACATTTTATCAATAGTTTTATTCTAATAACTTATAATTTGTTTGGACTCAAATTAAGATTAAGCAACTATATCTTTAATATTATGATAGGTTGCACATTAAAACTTTCAAGTTACCTCAGTTCAACTCAATTTCCTCAGTTTATGGAAAAGATTAAATGATCATTACGCTTAGAATTTGAAACATTTCTGAAATGTATTTCACTGTCATATGTTAAGAGTTATGATTTATAAAATTAAATAATCTATAACATTAGTGAAATAGTACAGTTCTCAACCATTTCATTCAAAAACGGCTAAAATACCATACAAGTGTTATCAAATGAGGATAAAGCGGTAGTTACTATTACGTAGTCGAAAATCAGTCTAGAAAAAAGGTATTCAGATTCACATTTTCAGGACTCATTTTGAAAAAAACGAGGCTGATCTTGAAGAATTTTTCAATTGATTATATTACGATTTTTGTCCAGAACTTGAGATCGAATTAAAGAATAGATTCTTGTTTTTTTATGAATATTTAGAGTCCTGAAAAATGTTAATAGATATCCGGTTTCTGAAGGTGAAATGATTCCTTGTAAGTTATGTTTCTTCTGATTCACTTATTATAAAACAATACATACAAATGGTTACCTACTCATTTTAATCTTAATTATATCACAGTATACTTTCATACATGCAATTGCTTAAATGATAATGATTTTTTAAATTTTTTTTCAGAGTCAACTTCAAAATTGTCAATCGTCAAGAAATGAAACAATAGTCATTTGATGCATTTATTACATTTCCGTAATTTGAAACCAATGTAATACAATTATAACATTGTTGTACTGATGTATTAGTATTGACTGAATTTAGCTATACTTTGAAATTAAAATGCTCCGCACAAAATTTCGCATTCATACTTGCCAAGTGGTTCTACTTACGTCATTGGTTTGGTTTTTCATAGATATTTTGATTCTCATGTTCTACTCTGATTGTATAAATGGTTCTGGTCTCAATTGTCAAGTTAATGAGTTGAACTACCCACAAAAAACAAATGATAAAGAATATTTCAAATCGATGCATGAATCTGCAAAAGACTTATCTTTAAATTCCATCATAGAAGTAGAAAATGCCTACAATAAAAATGAATTGAAGTTATGGAGACCTGCAAAAATAGTTCGAGAAAACGAAAATTTACCAGGAGAAATGGGCAAAGCTGTAAACATACCTCCTGAACAAGAATCCTTACAGAAAGAACTTTTTAAACTAAATCAATTTAATCTTCTGGCAAGCAATATGATTTCCCTTAATAGATCTTTAAAAGATGTAAGATTAAGTGCGTGTAAAAATAAAAAATATCCAAAGCTTTTACCTGACACGAGTATTGTAATTGTTTTCCATAACGAAGCTTGGAGTACCCTTCTACGAACTGTATGGTCAGTAATTAATAGATCTCCTACATCTTTATTGAAAGAAATCATTCTCGTCGATGACTTCAGTGATAGAGGTATGACTTTGAATTTTCGAATAAGTATTATCTTTTTGTAATTTTTAATTTTTTTGTTTAGATCACTTAAAACAAGACTTGGAAAATTATGTCAAATCTCTTCCTGTTCCGACTTATGTATATCGAACTAAAGTGCGATCTGGACTGATAAGAGCTAGACTTTTAGGAGCCAAGCATACTACGGGAAAAGTCATAACGTTTCTTGACGCTCATTGCGAGTGTACGGAAGGTTGGTTAGAGCCCTTATTAAGTCGGATTGCAAGCAATAGAAAGATCGTTGTGTGTCCAATCATAGACGTTATTAGCGATGAAACTTTTGAGTATGTCACAGCAAGTGATATGACTTGGGGTGGATTTAATTGGAAACTCAATTTCAGATGGTTAGTGAATATTCCTCAAATTCTACTAAGTTTCTTTTTATGAAATAATTTGTAAACGTTCTAATATTCTCAGGTACAGAGTACCTCAAAGAGAAATGGATAGACGTAAAGGTGACAGAACTGCTCCACTAAGAACTCCAACAATGGCTGGAGGATTATTTGCAATTGACAAAGATTACTTTTATGAGCTTGGTACCTATGATGAAGGTATGGATATATGGGGAGGAGAAAATCTTGAAATGAGTTTCAGAGTAAGTTTTATTGCATAATTAAATCAATTATATTTATTATAATCGATTTGATAGGGATGGATGGCTCGTATTCGGATGATATAGCTACAAGGTATTAATCGTTACATTGAATAGTAAAAAACAATTAATTTAATTAATATGAGACAATTATGAAATAATTTTATGTGACCGTGTATTTTTTTTCGGTAGAATGGAAGCAGAGCAGTCAGGCTTTAATTTAAGACCAAAAAAATAGAAATTTACCGAATATTTGTAAAATTAACGACTCGAAATGAAAAGTTGTTTTTTTGTATAAATTAATTTTAAGCTGTAACGTCTAACTGTGATTATGACGCTAAAAGAATTTGATAACATAGAAATGTAGTGATGGTCGTGATCGTCTGGTAGTTAGGACAGTAGACAGTGAATCAAAATTTAAAAATACGAATTTTCACGTTAATAACCGATGCCTTTTATTAATATTATTTTTTATGAGGAAGCTCTTTGCCAATAAATTGGCAGCGGTTTTTTGTATGCAACACGTGCCCAGCTTTTTGTGCACAGTGTGCGGAAAAAACACCCACTCGGGCCGGCATAGCCGGTACTCGTGCCCTTTTCCGCACACTCGTGCCCAAAAACACCTTTTGGGCACTTGTTACATAAATAACTAGTATGCAATACGTGTCCTCCTTTTTCCGCACAGTGTACGTAAAACAAGCCTCTCGTGCCGTCGTAGTAAATACTTGTGCTCCCAAATCAACCTATTTCTTTCAGTGTAGCCGGCCCTTACATCTTTTTTGTTCGCAATGACGCCAGCCTTCGTGTATACACTGTGCGCAAAAATGCCTTTTGGTCACTTGTTGCATAAATAACTATTAAACAATTAAGTCCCGAAGGGCGTTTTTTCAACACTTTATTCGGTCACTGTTCTTTGGTGAAAATAGGGTCAAAAAAATATGTGAGTAGCTAATTCTGATGTAAAATTTAATGTTCTTTCAGAATCTGATCTCAGATTTTCCAAAAAATGATCAGGTCAAAAGTTAAACTTCATTTTATAAAAAAAACGTGATTTTGAAAATAAATTATTTTTTATTTTTCGAATTTCCAAATGAAAACCATTTGAAATCTCAAGGGTTTTGTGCAAATAACGCGTCCTCGATATCTAAACAGAAAGTTAGCGTGGTTCCGATTGAAAAAATTAATGTTTAAACACAAAAATGACGGTCGAAACACGAATAAATGAACGAAAACTTCTAGGATTTTTCTCAAAAACGAAGGGCTTGAGAAAAAAGTGTATTTTTAAATTTTATTTTCTTCAATCTAAACCTAGCTAACTTTTAGTTTAGGTATTGAGGACGCGATATTTGCACGAAACCCCAAAGATTTCTAATGGTTTCCATTTGCAAATTCGAAAAATAATAAAAATTTTTTCAAAATCACGTTTTATTTTAAAAAATGATGTTTAACTTTTGACCTGATCATTTTTTCCAAAATCTGAGATCAGACTCTGAAAGGGCATCAAATTTTACATTAGAATTAAATACTCGCATATTTTTTTGACCCCATTTTCAAAAACAATACATTGGCCGAATAAAGTGTTGAAAAAACGTCATCTTGGAACTTAATGGGTTAAACCTAATAACGACAGGGTCAGTTATTAGCTTCAAAAAATCTGAATATTGACCTATATTTTATAAACATTCTTATAGGTGTGGCAATGCGGAGGAATTTTGGAAATTAGTCCGTGTTCGCACGTTGGACACGTATTCCGAGATAAAAGTCCATACACCTTTCCTGGCGGAGTAAGTAAAATAGTGCTTCACAATGCAGCGAGAGTTGCCGAAGTATGGATGGATGAATGGAGAGATTTTTACTATGCGATGAATCCAGGTAAATATTAAGATATAAAAATAGATATAATTTCTAATTATAAATAGAACTCTAAACTAATTATTTTCTTTTACCTACGGACTTATTCGGTATCAAAAGGATATATTGTTTTACTCAATTTTGAAAATGAGTTTTTTTTTCCATCGTTATTTATTAAAATTTCCATGTCTTATTGAGATCTAGCCGATTTTTGTGAGTTTTAGGCTAACTTTTCAATATTTTTCATTATTATTTCTATAAATTGAATCGATTTCAATGTTCAGTCTTTTATTCGAATTTCGCACATTTACTCGTGATAATGAAACAGATTTTTTCACAACATGAGATAAGAATTTAATTTGAATAAAATATTGACGAAAATATTGAATAAAACAAGTTATTTAAGGTTTCTGAAGGACTCAAAACATTTATTTTCACTCATTATTGCAGGAGCTCGAAGTGTTAAGGTTGGAGATGTTACTAGTAGACTAAAGTTAAGAGAAACATTACAATGCAAAAGTTTTAGATGGTACTTAGAAAATATTTATCCGGAATCTCCGATGCCTCTGGACTATTACTATCTAGGGGATATAAAAAATTCTGTGAGCAATGAAGATGTTAATTCATATCAAACTCAACATTTTTGTCTTGACACTATGGGTAGAAGAACCGGGGAAAATTTAGGAATAAGTCTTTGTCATGGCCTCGGGGGAAATCAGGTAAATATAAAAATTAGTTGACAAATTTCTGTAAATTTTTATGTATATATTAAATTTTATTTTTTTTATAGATATTTGCTTACACAAAACGGCAGCAGATTATGTCTGATGATATGTGCTTGGATGCCACTAATCCCAAAGGACGAATAAAAATTGTCAGATGTCATGGTATGGGTGGGAATCAAGTGTGGATTTACAATTTTGAGGTCTGTATTAATTTGTTTTCAGGCGTATATGCTAGTATAAAGAATTATGGCACAGTAATAAAACCATTGTGCATCAAACAGTCGCTGAATTATTTAGTGTTAGTTATATATTAATATTAAAGTAATTTTTTAAATGACAATTTTTTACGCGCGTTGGGTATAGAAGGTCAAACTGTAAAAAACGAGCGTCCGAGCGCCCTTTCGTACGGATTGTAAGTTATAAGTCTCATTAGCGTCTGTTAACTTCGTGATTGGTCGACTTACGTTCATGCGTTTGTAACGTCTACGTGGCATCATATAACTCGGTCCCTCTCACTCCCTCGAGTCACTCGCGCTATGCGTTTTCGTGTGTGTAGCCCTGCCAAACAACAACACATTAGAAGACTCTTGTGTGGCTCGCACTTTTTGAAGGGCTTGCCGAATTTTTAAAGTAAAACTTCTGTACGTGCGTTGGGTATGGGAGATCAAGTCGTGAAAAACGAGCGTCCGTACGGTCGGGCGGACATACGGATTGAATGTTTTTAGTCTCAGTAACGTCTGTATGCTTAGCGCGCTATGATTGGCCGGCGTTCGACAGTGGCGAGACGCTGCTAATTCATATACAATGCATTCTAGAGAATCTAACCACCAGAAGTAAAACATCAGGGTCCTTTCTTTTAGTTAAATTTTAATTTTGGAATTTTCATCAACTTTTCTCGATTTCAAATTTTTGTTTTTTTCAATTACATTGTGACTTGTTTGAAGTTTCACTTCTGATGGCTGTTCATAGACAGCTAACTTAATATTTTTTATTTTTATTTTTATTTCATGTTTAATTATATTAATCTAGAGAAATGTTATCTCTTATTAAACTTAAATAATCGAGCACACGCGATGACCATCGTTATGAACCATCGTTTCAATCTGGAAATTTTCTATCCATAAGAATGGTATTGGGGGTAATGTAAGTGGGGAAATGGACGGTTACCGATTCTATTCAAGGTCATTTCTCCGAAGGGGACATTCCTGCTTCATTCTCAAAGGCAGTGGCAGCTTTTTTCTTTCCTCCGTGAATCGACGACAGTGAAACACGATGAAAAATGTTAAAATATGCTTTCACAACAACTCTATTGGGAATAGCGACTAAAGCACTCAGCGCGTTAGGTTCTACTTGGGAGGTGAGACTTGACCGTTCTGCATGTTTTATCCCACAAGTCACGATAAGCCTCATCTTTGAATGCCTCGTCGCAAGAAGCTGTATGACTTTGAAGTGGCTCATAAAAGAAAGAGCATTTCACCAGAACTGTCACTAAATTTTATTTCAATGGATGCCTCTATATAAGCCTTAACGTTTTCTTTACTTACTTGAATTTGACCTCTTAATCTAACTATATTTGCCCTCGCGAATTACGCAGTCACATACCCGTCAGACGATGATCATATGCATGAAAAAAAGCTAGCCTAACCTCTGTATAAACGCTTCTCAGTATCAGGCGAAGAGTGTTTAATCAATAATTCAATTGGGAGATAAACCCTCTTTTGCGATTTTTGATAAATCCTCAGTATTTTTTATCTATAGATAAAAAACCTCTGCGAACATACACGAATCGAATTTAAAAGCTATAAACATAAGTAATCCCCAGAGTTGATGTGTCTTAATAGCGAGATTTAATAACTGGAACCAAAAAATTGTCTCTCTTTAATCCGATTTTAGTTTTATGACTAAGATAGAACAAGTCGTTGTTTGTATTCAATTTTGAGACATATTTTTTTTTATTTAATCGGGTTGAGTACATTATACGTGCATTTTCAAAGTTTGGTTTAACCTTAAAATAGTAGTTTTCGCTACAAGGGCCATAAGTAACACTTTTTGGCACGGCGTAGTTTAGGGCCCGAGCGCAGTGAAGGTCCTAATAGCTGGGCCGAAAAGTGTCCCCTATGGCCCGAGTATCGAACAACATTTTATAGTACTGTGCAATGTTCACATTTATGCCCCCTTTTCCGAGTCATGAGTGGCACTTCTGGTAGCGTGAAGTGAGGTTAGCGCGCGAGCGCATGCGAGTATGATGCGAACGCTGCGGTGCCAGAATGTGCGACTTATCCCACAAAAAAGCGTGCCATAAATGTGAACTTATGCCATACAGTGCTATAAATGTATATTCTGCATTCAACATATAAGTCAATGGCCAATATTTTCAAGGCCCACTATCAAGTTGGATTCAATCGGTTGAACAACTTTCGAATTTGTAAGAATACAAAGAAGATTGACAATATTTTACACGGGAATTTTCCTCATTTCGGGCCTTGGTAAAATTCAATTACCTTTTCAGGATCCGCGTCAGATTATAAAGATTCAAGTCTTAGAATTAATCGAGGAAGACTTTCAAATTTTTTCAGGATCTTCGGAGATCATTTTAGGAAATAAAGTTTCCCTTTATAAACTTCTCTATATATACACTTCTTTTTTATATACTCCCCTATATATAAACTTCCTAGCTAGAACCTACATATTTACATCAAGAGATGTACAATAATATTAATTATACAATGATTATATTCTTTCTGAGAAAGAGGGGAAAATATCTGCAATGTGAGTGACTGGGTAGGTAGGCGTTGAAGATATAAATTCACGATTTTATATATACCGCACTACTCGTGTATATTGCACTTGCAACGCTGTGCACGCGTAACGCACTTTCTGAGCTAAGTTCAGTTCGCTCATGAGTATGTCTCGAGCTGTACGGCTATGTTAATAAAGCAACTTATATATTAATATATTTAAAAGTGTTAATTCTTATTGTTAACCCCTGCGATTGTAAGTCAATCCTTTTTCCTATTTCAATAGTAGGTGCTATTACTGATCGGAGAGAAAAATGTTGGAATTATTCCGAAGCGCTACGCATGGATATATTCCGTACTATGCTTCATGTAATAATTCCATGCGTACCCCTGAAATTTGCACGGCACAAGATCCAAGATCACAAGGCACAATCATGTAGTCGCATGCACAAGCATGTAGTTGCTACGCTTTTCGGCGGCGGCAACGCACGCGGTCAATCCCAAGATCTTGTGTCGTGCAAATTCCAGGGGTATATACGCATGGAATTATTACATCAAACGTATTACGGAATATGTCCATGCGCAGCGCTTCGAAATCATTCCAACATTTTTCTCTCCGAGTGTGTATAAATAATTACAATTCAATTTATTCACGGACATTCATATATTTGAATACAAAAGGTTGATTTATGCCTATAGGGTTACTCAACTAATTGCTAACAATATACGTAGGCCTAGCGGACGATTCTCACGCTGCAACTGGCCTGACTAGCTCCTGATTAGCTGCACTGTATTAGCTACACTAGTCCCGATTACAAATTAGATTCCGCGTTGGACTCGCAGCTTAATTTAAAACAAGTCCGTATAATTCATTGAAATCGCAGTACAAAGTGACATGAGCTTCGTACACCGGATAAGAAGATAGATGAATCGCACAGAGGCCTCCGTGGATCCTCAATATACCCTGAGTTTTTGCATAATTTCTGGGGGAAAGTATCTGTCAGTACTTGCGCGTCTATGAAAACCCAACGATAGAAGATGCTAATTGATAGCAGATTCTCAAGTTGAATGTTTTTCACGCTAAACCGACATAACTTCATCTCGACATCGATTTCCATCGAACTATTGAATTGCGTGCCTAGTTCACACCCTAAAAGAAGCATTCGCGTCCGTTGCGTCATTTTAGCATACATGATTTTTATAATTGTTTATAATAAATTAAGGGTGACGTAACAAGTAAATGTCAAGCAAATGGTTTGTTACTTTAGTATGTTTTGAGCCAGGCGAGTCTCCCGCATGATAGATTAGAAGTAATGTAGAGTTAATACATAAATTTTGTGCAAAATGAAATAAAAATAATCTTTTATGATTTCAGAATAAAATGATCAAACATGCAAATACGAAATACTGTCTAACAAAATCATCATCCAATAATGTAATACTTCCAACACTATCGGAATGTGATACAAATTCAGCTGATCAAAAGTGGTTGATGCAAAGTAAATTCAAATGGCAAGCGAGCAAGTAGACGGAATTGTATTATTAAATATTTGTACTAAAAAACTTTAAATAAGACCTTACAAACTATTTACATTATGTAAACAAGGATGAGAGTTTTCTACAAAATGCTAAAATTCATCTTCCTCAAAATATGTATATAATATTATAATGTTGTTATAAATATTCCAGTTGACGTTCATGTAATTTGATAATAAAATATGTATACGTTATTTAATATTCTATTCGACACTATTATTCTTCTATTGTAAGTAGATAAAAAAATATATATCTTGGTAATTTTTCCAACCTAAAAAACTCATATAGTGCTAAATTGGACTTTTGGTTGAATTGTCGAGGATACAACACGTCAATTATACTGCTCCATTCTAACATCTTTTAACGATTAGTTTTCAATAAATCATAGGCATGTAAAAGTTTAATAAATTAAATGTAAAAGAAAGAGTTTAAGCAAAAAGAGAGACGATATCGTGTCAGTGAGAGAGGAAACATCGTAGAGAGCAGAGAAAGGTACCCAACACTAACAGATCAAGTAATGTGATTGAGTCAGAAGATGATGATATACAAGTACAAATAATCGAGGTATACTAGTTAATGCAAAAGATAAACGTGTTAACCCATTAACGACCAAAATGCTTCATTTTTTTGTTGGTTTTTGCACTGATTTTTTTTATAGTTTTAGATTTTAAAAAAATTTCGCACGGACCTATTTCGATGTACAATATAACGCCCTTTCAAAAACTAAGCTCAAAATTTTGATTTTTTGCGTAATATAAAAGTTATAGCTATTTAAACAAAAAAAAACGTAAAAATGTTGGCAAAAATCAGGTTTTCGATTTTTTTTCCCCATGCTACCGTTAAGGAATCACGATATAATTATGATCAGGGGCGATCACGACTATCAAAGTACCTCCGCGAATTTTTATGGAATTTTTGAACCATTCCTTCGAAAAAAAATAACTCATATTCATTTAAAACATTACTCATTTTTACTCGAAAACTATTGAGTTTAGAGAAAAGGTGCACAAAACTAAAGTTTGAAAAGTCGTGCTTGAAAAATTCATGAAAATTCCCTGAGGTACTTTGATAGTCATGATCACCCCTGATCATAATTATATCGTGATTCCTTAACGGTAGCATGGCGAAAAAAAATCGAAAACTTGATTTTTTGCCAAAATTTTTCCTTTTTTTTGTTTAAATAGCTATAACTTTTTTATTACGCAAAAAATCAAATTTCTGAGATTAGTTCATGAAAGGGCATTAAATTTTACATCAAAATAGGACGAAATTTTTGAAGGTCTAAAACTATCAAAAAAATCGCTGTAAAAACCAACAAAAAATCAAGCATTTTGGTCGTTAATGGGTTAAAAAAATTTATATTTGCAGAGAAATTAAAAAAAAGTGCTCCAGTGAAATAGGCAAAACGTTTGGTAACATCGTAGCAAAGCAATTGCTGTAGCTATTTTATTGCGCAATATATCAATAGAATTATAGAATCATCACAGTAGCACAAAAAAGACAACGATCTGTGAATTCGTCACTATAAAATATTAATACTCTATAGCTAAGCCCCTAACTCAACCGGTTATTGGAACATTTACCTTAGGTGCATAAAAATAAGTGTACTTTTTATTATTATAACAATAACAAAATTATAGTTTAAGTTTTAGCATATAAGAGTGGATTAAATCAAGTAAAAGTCATGGATCAAAATATTCGTGCTTTTATTGGTTAATCAAAGGTGCAATGAAGTATGAAAGTTATGACTTTGAATTCGTAGAATAATTTTTAATCCTATTTTTCCATTCTCACATTCATGAACGTTGTTGCTTTAACTGCAAAATTTCTGAATCTAACAATAAATTATCTTCAGAATCCGATAATTTGTTATTGCTAAGCCCGGAAATCACTGAATTTGAATGCGTGAATGGAGTTAAACTTGACCACTCCATACCGAGGTAGATAGAAGGAACTCCTCCAATAGATGGTTCCAATAGTACTTGATTTTGTGATTGATGCTGCATTAGAATTTGGGGCGCACACATTGAAACATGAGATGTTAAATTTATATCTCGTTTTGATTGTTTTTCTTGCTTTCGCCATTTTGCTCGTCTATTTTGAAACCATACCTACGAAAATATTATTATAAATAACTGTAAACAAAAATTTATAGACGGAAATAATGTTATTTTTTTCAAATCAAGAATAAATAATATTTTTAAATAAATAATATATATTTTAAAACAAGTTTTTACAGGGTATGATTATTTTTTATAATATCCATCTTAATTGGGTAAGCATATAGTTTCTCTGTCAGTCGACCAAACAAGCTTCAATCATATTGCTGTATTTGAACGAAACTAAATTTTTGCTTGGTCCCTAATTTAGTTTGTATTTAGATAGGCATTTTACTCGTTATACCAATGTAGTATCAGAGTCACTACACAGTTTCTACAACGCAGATCGGTTTAACTATACTCTTATACATTGATATGAAAAAACTGAAGATTTTTGTTGTTCATGAGTCTCGATACTTTAGGAACACTAAAGACGTCTGTCTACCTTCTCGTCGGTGCAAAAAATGATTAATTTTAAAGAATTTTAAGGGGCTTGAAGTATCGAAAATTGATATGCAAAGTGTTGCTTTAAATAAATAGACTCCTGAACTTCATGAAACAATTTTTTTATTAATTTCCCTCAATTATTAAGTAATGAATAATCGATGAAAAATGTTCGAAAAAATTAGACGTGTTATCTGTTTAAACAATGTATTTCGAAAAATTAAGAAAACAATTTTTTTTCAAATTGTTTTTGTCTATAGAAATGCTTAACGTCAAAATTTCGAAAAACTTTTTATATTTGCTATTAGTCCAGTCAAATTAAATCTGACCCTATGTTAAAAATGAAAAAATTCGCAACCACAGTTTGACACCGGGAAAAGTTAGTGTTCGATGGTAGAAATGAAGTAGTGTAAAATGCAACTATGCAACTGATGGGAAATTAAACAATTGGGCCCCTTGAAGTTGCCCAAAACTCGTTTTTCGGCTGTAGTTTTTGAACGACAAACTTTACGAAAAAAAGTTTCAAATGAAAAATGTAGGTCTTTTCAAGCGCACATCGTATGCTTTATGATGTATAATGGGCATATAGAGTTTGAAAAGGAAAATTTCATTTTGCGTATAAATAGTTGTCAGAAAATGTTTGATTTCATTACTATCATAGATCATAAATTAATTGTTCAATAGTAGATTGATATTCAACTATTCCAAAATTAGAAAAATAAAAGATTTGTGAGTTAGATTTGAATTGGGATAAGACTGTCATACTTGCACTCATTTAATCTTTTAAAAAAAGTATTATTTCAATTTTAAATTACTGTGTGGTAAACTTTTTAATTTGATATAGTATTTGAAAAATAAAAATTTCCGTTATGTTGAATAATTGTCAGAATAGAGTTGATTTCGTTCATATTATAGCCATGTAATTGAACAATAGTGGATTAGAGTTTGGATAATTTAAAGAGTATCAAATGGGATTTGGATCCATGCGATGAATAGTTTTCATTTTTCAACCAAAAGTTTTATTATACGGGGTGCGGAAGTAGCATCCTACCGAACCGAGTGCTGAAGTAGAATCTTTCAAACTGAGCGTCAAATTAGTAATGTGGTGAATTGAAATTAAACTGGCATTATTCTTCTTGCATGGTTCTATTAGCTAAAGTATTACTGCTAGACGCCGATACGAGATCGAGTTTAATTTATTACATGCTTCACATATATTATGAGAAAATAAAAAAAAAATTAAGCAATCTTATGTCATTTGCATTTTTTTTACACTTCAAAATTAATTTGCTGCAATGTTTAACTTTGCTGAAACTTAAATAAAATAATTTACCGTGAGTAAATATTGATAGTATTATTCTTGCATTGGGGTAGTAAAAAAACATTTATTACTATAAAATTTTTTTCAATTGAATCACAGTGTAATTAATTACCTGAACTCTTGCCTCGGTTAAATGTATTTTCAAAGCCAGTTCTTCTCTAAAAAAAACATCAGGATAATGTGTCTTATGAAATGCTCTTTCTAATTCTTCTAATTGAAAATTACTAAAAGTTGTTCTATATCGTCGTTGTTTTCTTTTTCCTGAACTTGAATTAGATGTATCTTCTTTTGATAAGCTTGGAGGTGAGAATTCATGAACTGTAAAAATTTAAGTCTTGTAATAGTAGTCAAATATTTATTTTTTTCAAAATTTTGAATGAAATATGATATTCTATTGGCTGTTCAGTGTGAGTAAATAACAATCGGTGAAAAAAGTGAGTAGTATGTTACATTTCTCCCAAAGAGACCTCCCACTACTTATAACAGATCTTTACCAAAATTTTATCGGGTCTCCTGTTACCTCTTATTAAAGGCCTTAATTTGTACTTTAATCTAATGAGCCTTGGGGTTTATTTAAAAAATCATTTTTTTATCTAAAAAGAAACGATGTTAGGGAAAATTATAAATAATAAATTAATCGGAAAGTATTGACAACAGAATAAATAGAAAAATCAGTTTTATTAAAAATTGATTAAAATTACATAAAAAACAAAATCAGCTGTATAAGAACAGCCGTAAGATGTGTAACGTCTTTATGAACATTAAAAATAGAATTTAACATTAAACAATTTAAGTAATTCTATCTAAAATTCGAATAATTAAATTAAAACAAATTTCGAGTAATTCGATTTAAAAAATTCAAGTAAATCAATTTACAATAGAAAAAAAAGAAGCGCTGCAAGATGTGTAACTAAAGTCACATTTAAAGGTAAAAAATTTAAAAACTTAACAAATAAAATAAATCAAATAAAACGTAAAAGTATTTGATTTATTTTATTTGTTAAGTTTTTAAATTTTTTACCTTTAAATGTGACTTTAGTTACACATCTTGCAGCGCTTCTTTTTTTTCTATTGTAAATTGATTTACTTGAATTTTTTAAATCGAATTACTCGAAATTTGTTTTAATTTAATTATTCGAATTTTAGATAGAATTACTTAAATTGTTTAATGTTAAATTCTATTTTTAATGTTCATAAAGACGTTACACATCTTACGGCTGTTCTTATACAGCTGATTTTGTTTTTTATGTAATTTTAATCAATTTTTAATAAAACTGATTTTTCTATTTATTCTGTTGTCAATACTTTCCGATTAATTTATTATTTATAATTTTCCCTAACATCGTTTCTTTTTAGATAAAAAAATGATTTTTTAAATAAACCCCAAGGCTCATTAGATTAAAGTACAAATTAAGGCCTTTAATAAGAGGTAACAGGAGACCCGATAAAATTTTGGTAAAGATCTGTTATAAGTAGTGGGAGGTCTCTTTGGGAGAAATGTAACATACTACTCACTTTTTTCACCGATTGTTATTTACTCACACTGAACAGCCAATAGAATATCATATTTCATTCAAAATTTTGAAAAAAATAAATATTTGACTACTATTACAAGACTTAAATTTTTACAGTTCATGAATTCTCACCTCCAAGCTTATCAAAAGAAGATACATCTAATTCAAGTTCAGGAAAAAGAAAACAACGACGATATAGAACAACTTTTAGTAATTTTCAATTAGAAGAATTAGAAAGAGCATTTCATAAGACACATTATCCTGATGTTTTTTTTAGAGAAGAACTGGCTTTGAAAATACATTTAACCGAGGCAAGAGTTCAGGTAATTAATTACACTGTGATTCAATTGAAAAAAATTTTATAGTAATAAATGTTTTTTTACTACCCCAATGCAAGAATAATACTATCAATATTTACTCACGGTAAATTATTTTATTTAAGTTTCAGCAAAGTTAAACATTGCAGCAAATTAATTTTGAAGTGTAAAAAAAATGCAAATGACATAAGATTGCTTAATTTTTTTTTTATTTTCTCATAATATATGTGAAGCATGTAATAAATTAAACTCGATCTCGTATCGGCGTCTAGCAGTAATACTTTAGCTAATAGAACCATGCAAGAAGAATAATGCCAGTTTAATTTCAATTCACCACATTACTAATTTGACGCTCAGTTTGAAAGATTCTACTTCAGCACTCGGTTCGGTAGGATGCTACTTCCGCACCCCGTATAATAAAACTTTTGGTTGAAAAATGAAAACTATTCATCGCATGGATCCAAATCCCATTTGATACTCTTTAAATTATCCAAACTCTAATCCACTATTGTTCANTTGTTTCGACTTTTACTTGTTCGATTACTTTTGAATTCTTTAATTTTCTTAAATTAATAGTAAGATGTTTCACATCTTGCAGCTGTTCATAAACAGCTGATTTTTTTAAATTTTTTCAATTTTCAATTTAAATTTTTTTTTACTTGTTTTTCACTTATTTTTTTGTTTCGACTTTTACTTGTTCGATTACTTTTGAATTCTCCAATTTTCTTTAATTAATTGATAAAGATGTTTCACATCTTGCAGCTGTTCATAAACAGCTGATTTTTTTTTGATTTTTTCAATTTTCAATTTGTTTTATTAATCAAATTAGTGCATTGAGCTATTATCGTTCGTTATATCTTAATATAACATGATAATTTCGACTTCCCTTAAGAAGACACACACTCATAGACACGTATATATACATGCAGTAATAAGTATCAGATTTGACAACGTGCATGATAGTGCATAGTCTCGCGACGTACATGCATAGACAACACATACGTATTATATGTATTAGCGATACGCATAAGCAAGAGAGAGAAAGATATCTCAACGCAGTCAATCTCGTGAGCTGAGCCGACTGCTGTTGCTTATGCTGTTACGTTGCCTCGTGCGTATATGTTATAAACACAGGCATACGCGCGTCGAGTCTCGGCAGCGGACAGCAGCAGAAAGCAGTTCTGTAGCTGGCGCGGCAGCCAATCACAGCGCGTAGCGCAAACCTACGCTGTATAGGCAGTTCTACTGCCAAAGTTGCGCTCGCTCGGACGGACGGACGGACGCTCGGTTTTTACGGGTTTACCCCTGACACCAAACGCGAATATAGATGTTTCACATCAAAAAATAATTTTATTCATAAATAATATAAAAAATTGTCATTGTTTTCCAAAATAATCAGTCAATTTTGACTGTTTTGATCATCTCAAAACATCTCTGTACAATTCGATATCGCCAAATCACATAAGCGTTTGAAATTTAAACTTCGGACTATTATCGCATCATTGTACATTGCTTGCTCCGACGCCTGTAGCACGAGATTTATAATTGCAGCAACAGCCTTAGCATTAAAAGCAGTCTCGGAAACAGTTTGTCTCATGCCTTCTTCAAAGTCTTCTTGGTGTTCGTAGTTTGAAAGCTCTTCGATTTCCTCAATGGTAATTGGCCTTTGCTCTAAAACAAGATCGAACCTCTGATTCTTGGAGGTCTTGAAACTCTTCGCCGTCAACTTCTCGAACCAAAGCCACAACCTCTCTGACAGTATCTTAATAATTTATCCGCTGCTCATAATTGTACATCATATTTTTCAAAGACCTTAACTTGACGTTTTTTCTATAAAAACCGGTAGATTGCAGAGATCTCTGAAAGAGGTGATAGACCAGGTTGAAAATTCTGAAATATTCTTTTTTTTTTATAAGATCTCAAGTGAAAATGGTATGTTGGATCGGGTTACCGTCAAAATCTCCGCGACAAAATTTCCGGTGACAAAATCTCCGGGACATAATCTCCGATAGGAAAAAAGCAGAAACACACTTACATTCGTCTCAAAACACGCACATCCCAAACACACTAATACACATACCAAAAAACGTACATCCAAAACACACAAGACGCATCCCAAAACACGCACATCCAAAACTCACTAATACATATCTAATAAGTAGAAAAATATAAAATAAAATTCGGCGGAGATTTTGTCCCGAAGATTTTGTCCCCGTAGATTAGATTACGGAGATTTAGTCACCTGGAGATTTTGTCCCGAAGATTTAGTCGCGGAGATTGTGTCGTAGGAGATTTTGTCAGCTGATATATGTTCTGGTAAACGCACATCGATCAGATCTTAATGTTTGGGTTTTTGATAAAGTGAATTTAAATTAATTCGATAACTTTTATTGTTTGAGATTAGTTATTAAATTTTAATTATTAATAAACTTATTGTTTAAATAATTGAAGGCGTCACAGTCACTTCAGATCTGACATTAGATCTAATATCAGATTTGATGTAAGCTCTGATGTCGATTATCATATGCAAATTCTGATATAAGATCTGGCATAAGATCTGATGTGCATTCACCAGACTTTCATCCGATATGAGATTTCAAGTCAGATCAGATATACTATTTTTACCTGGGGAATTTCTTACGATTTATTGTTTCCCTAAAGTCATTTATTTTTAAGATAAACAGTAGCAAAGATCCATTGGATTAAACTAAATAATATGGTTCATTATTGAGTAACAGGAGCACTATAAAAATTTAACAAGAATTTGTGACTCGGTGGTGTCTACGTCACACCTCTGCTATATATCAGAAATAATTCAGCGAGAGATTTAATAGTGAGTCACTTGACCAGTGATTAAAAGGTTTAGAAAAATTCTGCTTTCAAGCAACTCGGATGCAGGTTTTTAGCCAATTTCAGGTAATGGAACCAATAGTTTGTCCAAGTTCATACCTTCCTCTACCTATTAGAATTTTCACAGAATTTTTAATTGAGTTTTGATGTGAAACATCTATATTCGCGTTTGGTGTCAGGGGTAAACCCGTAAAAACCGAGCGTCCTTCCGTCCGTCCGAGCGAGCGCAACTTTGGTAGTAGAACTGCCTACACAGCGTCGGTTTGCGCTACGCGCTGTGATTGGCTGCCGCGCCAGGTACAGAACTGCTTTCTGCTGCTGCCCGCTGCCGAGACTCGACGCACGTATGCCTGTGTTTACGTATATGCACGAGGCAACGTAACAGCATAAGCAACAGCAGTCAGCTTAGCTCACGGAATTGACTGCTTTGCGATATCATTCTCTCTCTTGCTTATGCGTAGGAAAATACACAGAATAGGTATGTACTGTTTATGCGTACACGTCGCGAGACTCTACGCACTATCATGCATGTTTTCAAATCTGATATTAATCAATGCATGTATGTATACGTGTTTATGAGTGTGTGTCTTCTTAAGGGAAGTCGACATTTTTATCATGTTATATTAACATACAACGA